CCTCGGGAAACATTTGCTGTAAACAGCGGTCACCAGTGAACATTTGCGAGTAACAGGGCACTGGAGGGCACTGCAGTTACCCAGTCTGATGTCATAGATTTTGTAATGTTGCCTGCTCCGAGATTTTGGTGGGAAACAGTTTCATTGTTAGATGTCATGTGACCTCGAAGTAACCAATGAGAGTGTGCACTGCTGGGAAGAAATTTCCAGCTATATTACAGGGAGATACACAATGTACATATTGTACAGTAGATGATTATGCAATATTATTGACCAAGCCTGTTCAGTCAAGATGGCTGGATATTGGCCAAGTTATTTATCTGTCTTTTTATGGACAAAGACAAAGTTAAGTAAGGTCAATAAAAATGCAGCAAAGAATGAGTCTAATCCAGCCATCCTCACTGAACAAGCTTGGCCGATAAAGGATTTTATATATGACCAAACCAAGTCTTTTCTTTCGGCGCAAGAACACAGGACTCACTTGATCTTGCAAGCTCATGGGACCAGCCATAATTATAATAATGGGCAGTAATATTAAATTAGTGATTTCATCTTTGCTGATGTATGAGGAGAAGTGTGGCTCATGTTTGATGTCCCAATGTGAATCTAGCTAAAATGTTATGCACTTCATTCAATGTCACTGAAGTGCTTCATTCTGTCCTGCTAATTAGTCAAGAATTATTTTACTGACATTTTCCTGTCCAGGGATTTAAGAAAATCACTTTTCAATGCCTAATTCCTATGTCAAGCTCTGTGTTATGATGATTGCATGATAACACTGAAAAAAGTTTTGCCTTAATCCTGCAGCACATAGGGTTGTTATACTTGGCATTCAGCTGTACTTTTTAAAAAGTCCTTTTTTGGACAGTTTTTAAGGTTGTGAATGAAAAGTTGTTTTACAAAAAGGAGCATGACTGGATTGAGAAGAATCTTGTTTTAATTGCATCAGTCAAAATGAAAGGATTAAATTCATTTTTCATTGGGTCGCCCTCCAGGATTCCTTGTACTGGCTTTTGTACTGAGCTATTCATTTAATGGAAATTTTGTCATAAGTACATGTAGTTGATAAATTATGTTATTGACTTATTTGCAGAGGTTAAATACCCTGATCAATCAAAACGTGTTGCATACTTGTCACTTGACTAAGGTGAGTGTTCAAGTGGCTAATTAATGCAAGGTATTTCCATCATAATGTCATTAACAGTATTGTTGCATGAGGCTGAGTATCATCTGAAGAATTATGGAGATCAAGGAGGGTTAGGCCATGGTGGATAACACCCTCCGAGATCTCCATAATTCTTCAGATGATATAAAAGGTGAATTCAATAATTGATTCATAATTTATTTAAAATAATTTTTAGTTTGAAAACAAGCTAAAACAAGCCTTCCTCCACCGACGTTAATTTCATCTTTGATAGTCATGTTTATCGGCAAGTTTAGGAGATAAAGGGTTGCTCAGTTCTGCAATTATTCTCCATATAGCAGATGTTGTCTGTCGAGTTGTCTTCTTGCTGTTCTTGCTATGTTTTTAGTTAATAGTTCTCTTATTTCTTTGTCTTGAAACGAGTGAAATGTTCCACCATTTTGTACTCACTACCAAAACAACTCAACCTCGTCCGGTATCCTCTTCCGTCCCCATGCAGGTCTTCTCTGTTAACTGTTCAGTTTATAATTCTGGCAATTATGCTACACAATCAATGTCATTTTTTAACATATTGCAAAAAAAAAATGTTTTCTACCACATTCCTCCAGAACCCTTTACAATTTTATAACTATTGATGAGTGATTGTGGTTTGGTTTGGTTTTCATGGCTCAGGTAAAGAAGTGTGTTTCTTGCCTTTCAACATGCATTTTCCCAGACAAGACCACGTATCCCATTGATGAAACAATGCTGCATAATGGTCCACCACACATCTCTAACTTTGGTTATTCATATGCCAAACGTATGATTGATGTACAGAACAGGTGAGTGATGGGGTGGGAAGAAACTTCAGCGCAGCCTTAGTTTGGATTGATCTGCAACACTCTTTAGAACTCATAGTGGTAACCTTTGACTGAATTGATGACTTCCCCTTGGCGTCTTCTCATGTCCTGTACAAAACAATAGTGAAGATGAGTGCTCCAAGTGCAGCTTTTTTCAAAGTCACTTTTTTGCCAGACACAAAATCATTGGTTGTCACAAACAAGAATGGTGCATTGATACATGAAAAGTTTGGAGAAGTCATGCTACGCAGGCGTACTTACATTCCTTTCCACTTCTTATAATTTGGTATTTTTAAAAATCTGAAGAAATATATCTTCAAAACTGTTTAACCAACTGCCTCGCTTAAGTGGAAGGTGGGTGCCTGGAATACCCAGGAGCTTCCACTGTGGCCAGCCAGCCCCTAGATAGAAAACTGCCCCCATGGCTGGCAAATCCCGCAACCCAGCCATGAGTCCCATTCCAGGCACCCGTCACACTGATGAAACGGTGGAAGGAAGAAAAATAGGGATGAGAGGGGGGGAAGACGCTAAATGAACCGCTCCAGACACCACTGCACAAACGCTCGACGAAGAACTGGCAGATCCTCGCTGTGTACAAAGCTACCACAAACCATGTGAGCCTGCACTTATGGGATTGACCGCTGGATGCCCGCTAAGCTCGTGGACCACTTGACCGCTAAGCCTGTGGACTGCTTGACCTCTTAACTTGTGGACAGCTAAACTTGTGGACGGCTTAACTGCTAAGCTTGTGAACCGCTTGACCGCTAAGCTGTGAACCGCATGACCTCTAAGCTTATGGACCGCTTGACCGCTAAGCTCATGGTGGTTAACTTAGTTAAATTACATTTAACCAAATTTAACCAACTGCCTCGCTTAAGTGGAAGGTGGGTGCCTGGGATACCCAGGAGCTTCCACTGTGGCCAGCCAGCCCCTAGATAGAAAACTGCCCTCATGGCTGGCAAATCCCCGCAACCCAGCCATGAGCCCCCATTCCAAGCGGAAGGGACTCTCCGAGCTGACGCAGCCAGATCGGAGAGGGAAAGAGGGGCTCAGGGCTGGGGGAAGCCCTGGCCACGAACTACCCAAGACCCGAGGCACCCTACAAGGACAACTAGGAAAAGAGAAAGATACGCAAGAAATGCCTGTCAAGTGAGAGGGCTTGCTACCCCCACGATAGTACTGACGGGAGTGTGAATATAGATCTGATACGCATCGCTGGACCATCTGCCAAGTGTCTTGATGAGGTGATCTGGTAAGCCACGAGGGGCTGCTGAAGTAGCAGCGCCAATGCGGAAGCTATGACCGGTGTAGCAACCAGGGTCCCCAGCAGCGGAGAAGATAGATTGAATATTGGATGTCAGCCATTGGCGATGTAGAGCGGTGCCATCAGAGAGAAGAAAGAGTGGGCCAGGAGTTGAGCCACGGACGTGTAGATACTGGGAAAGGGCGCGTACAGGGCAGAGATCACGTTTACCAGCACCAATGTAAATATGGCAACCTTGGCGAAAGGGGTCTGTCTTAGAGCACTTGATATGAATCCTGAAGCTGCTTGGATTGACTAGGGAATCTGCTTGGACATCACTGACAGCAAGGTGGATGTCAGGATTGAAGGGGGAGTTGACAGTGAACTCACCAGCGCGTAAGAAACCAAAAAACCCGAGACAGCAGGCAGCCCAAAGCATTGTATGGTTGTAGTCAGAGAAGTTCAAGGACTAGAAGATGATGTGCATCAGCTCGATTGTGATGCGTTGGCGCTGACGCCTATTTGAGCCTGGGTTACGTTTGATAGCCCGCAACACACGCTGTAACCGAAGGCAACCATCCAGCAGAGAAGGATGACCCTCCTCAATTTGAAGGGACCGGATTGCTGAAAGGTAAACCTTTATGGATGAATGGTGGAGAGTATCAGCGAGATGACAGCAGAAACAGATGAGTACGTCTTCACTGGATGGAAGAGCTGATCCCGAAGGAGATAGGCTATTGTCCTGAGCACAGAAATCCAAGAAGCGGCGTTGGGCAGAAGCGTAAACTTTCCCAGTAGAAGGGGCAAGACCCTGAGTCAAATAGAAGTGGCATTTATCTCACAGCGAAGTTCCAAATCCGAGAGGAGCTGCTACGGAATCTGGGTTGGAATGGAGTCTGCATGAAGGTTTAGCCGGCGAAAGTGCTGAAACGTAAAGCGAGACAGGGAGTCAGCAATGGGGTTAGACTTCCCTCTAACTGAGGAGGCAGTGAAAGAGATGAGTGACGAGCTGCCAAAAGGAACAGATAGCGAACCAAGGACATGATGGTAGGGGCTCTTGAAGTGCCAGACCGCAGAATGTCCACCACTGAGCGGTTATCTGATAGGAGGTTGACCCGTTTGGAGGCCCAGTGTGTCTTGCTGGCTGAATAATGAGTAACTTATACTGATTTAAATCTTTCCAGAGAGAGGGAAGGTGTGGCAAAGAATCATAGAAAAGATTGTGAAGGCTTCTATCCAGGTGACGGTGTCTGCAATTTCGATGACCCGTTTCTTAGACCCTGATACCACCAGTTTTCCCTCCAAAAACCGTTGGGGGTTCGATTTCTTGAACTTGGATATTGTCCGGAAGTAGGTCAGCCAAGTCGACAAAAATCCCTCCTGTAATTTTAGAAACAAGCTTATACGGGACTGGAGCATAGCCAGGACCCACCACAAATGCTTTGTTGAGGTTTGGAAACGTAGAGAACTCAGTTCCGGTCGCGCCACCACAAGAGCCCCCAGCCACTACAGGCAAGTTGGCGGAGGACGTGGCGGGGAGAGAAGAGACAACCGAGGGACCGCCAGATGAGCTGTAAGTTGAAATAAATGAGGGCACAACAAGCGTACCTGAAGACTGGAAGGTAGAGCCGGGGGTACCGGAGCTGAAGGATGCCGGAGACTGCGTAGAAGTCGAAAGCGAGGAGAGAGGACCAGACGTCGCGGCCATGTTTGAGTTTCCGCCACTTGAATCTCGAAGGGAAGATAGCAACAGAGAGAGCCATTCCGCGAGAGCTCTTTAAATTGCCTGTGCTAACGCGTTGTTGTCCGGCAGAGAAACAGGTTGACTTGGTGGTGAAGCTGGGGTGTTAACTGTAGGAGCTGGGGTAGAACCGCTAGAAGAAGGCGAAGACGCGGTAACCGGAGAAGACATAGTGGACAAGCTGTTGTTCGTGGTTCGCATCCTGAACGAACGCGACGACAAGCACGCTTTGAAAAATAATTGAAAGAAAAAGGATACAAGAAAAAGCACACTGCATGTAGGACTGCTGCTCCAGAAATCGCTGATAAAGACGAAAAGACGCTAAATGAACCGCTCCACAGACCACTGCACAAACGCTCGACGAAGAACTCGCAGATCCTCGCCGTGTACAAAGCTACCACAAACCATGTGAGCCTGCACTTATGGGATTGACCACTGGATGCCCGCTAAGCTCGTGGGCTGCTTGACCGCTAAGCTTGTGCACCGCTTGACCGCTTAACTTGTGGACCGCATAACTTGTGGACCGCTAAACCTGTGGACGGCTTAACCGCTAAGCTTGAGAACCGCTTGACCGCTAAGCTCGTGGTGGTTAACGTAGATAAATTACATTTAACCAAATAATATAATATAAATGGCCTGTGATATAAGGTAAATGGAGAAAATAAATTAAATACAAAAAAAATACAAAAGTTGCTTGCTTGGCCAAAAAGCAACTTGTAATTAAAATTTGCTAGCCTGACAGGTCATTCCACTGGCCCCACTCTATTGAACAGCACTTTTGTGGTACCCTGCCTGTTAAAGATGGAACAGGAACCCTTTTAAGGAAGAGGGTAAAATAACCATGGGTCTTTCATTGTACAAAAATCAAGTACTGTGTGGATTCTCTGTGGCTCACTAGTGGTTCATAAGGTGGTATTGATGCCTACTGGATCCATGCGTATTATTTTAACAATTAATGCCAACAAGAATTAACTAGTGATCAATATTTTGCAGGGCTTATCACCAACAGCATCCAGATGGATGTTTGTTTACTAGTGTTATTCCCACCAATGTGTATGGAAAGCATGACAACTTTAATTTGGAGGATTCCCATGTTCTTCCTGGATTGATGCATAAAGTATACCTAGCGCAAAGTGAGTTTGAAGTATCCATTTGCCTAGTTTTTGATTATTGAGACGAACACGTGTTCATTTGACAATTGCAGCAAATGCTTTTGAATTGCAATAAGATGAACTTAACTGCTGGATGGTCAGCTGAATAGGCCATTTGCACTAAGGTCGTGTGACGTCGTTTTTATGAAAAGCGAAAGTTATATGATTTTGCTTTTGAAAAACAACTAGTGGGTCATATCTTAGACAAAATAATAGTGATTTGGTTTTTCAAACCTGCACCATATTCTTAAAATGAGTACTTTTGTAGCTGGTCATGTGACCAAACTGTGATTTTTAATACTTATGAATTACCCCTTTCTGAACACAAATTCTGTACTTATACTTCAAGGAAAATGTTGAAAAGATGATGTGGCAATGTTTACTGCTCATCTGAGCGTAACTATCAAACGTTTAACAAGATATAAGCAAAAAGTAGTTTTGGCCGCCATGCTGGAGGGCAAGAGTATGCCCTCCAACATGGCGGCCAATACAAACCATACTACTTTGTTGAAAAATCAAAGTGCCATAAAATAGCTCCCTAAAATGCGTTTCCTCTCAAATTTCGGGTGTAAGATAATTTTTATGTGCTCTGTGTACTTTTTGGCATCAGCAAGATTCCAACTCATTGTTTAAAGGAAGCATTGGTAACGTGACCTGTTAGTGCAAGTGGCCTTTTGGTCTGCCGAGTGGGAGATCATGGGTTCAAAACCTGGTCGGACTTACTCTCAGGGTCATAAAATAAGTGAGGAGAATGTACTGCCTTTGTTCTAGCATCTACAGGACGGAACTGCTCAAAAGTAAGTTACCACTTATGTCTCTTTTCCTGTGTGATGAGAATCACGTTGCGTGCTATGCAATTCTCGCCGCGCGCTATGAGAATCACATAGCGTAAGAATCATTGCATGCATGTTTTACACAAAGACGGAAATACGGATCCTTCACAAAGTGAATTATCACAACAGCCTAGAGGTGGCAGAGGTAAAAATTTGTTCACATGTTAGTCATGGTAAAGCTTTACCACTGATTCTTTAAATCACTCAAGAATTTTGACCATGATACTTACACAATTATTAGGCCATTGTGCACTACGTGAGTCGCATCCTGCACTACAGGAATCGTGACAGGATGGTAACTCTCTTTTTAGTGGTACTGTACAAAATGGCTAGACACTCTAGTCTTCTCTGATAAGAGTGATAAACTGTTGGGACAACTGGTCTCAGAGCTCTGTTGTTCCGATCCTTGTGGGACGTAAAAGAACCTACCCCGCTGTTTGTAAGAGTAGGAGACAACTAGGCCCCGATAGTTTAGTGGGGGTCAACATTGAAACGTTAAGTGTCTTACCGTGTATTGCATTACTGTAGCAGGTCCACATCAGTCCTCAAGCTGCCTTTATTTATGAAACTAGTAATAACCAAATGTAGGGAGTGTGTGCGACAATGATCGAAGGTCCGAACGCTTTTGTTCCAATGCTGTGCTTCGCGTAAGTTTCACGTGACAGGTGGTCAAAACACGTGTGATCAGAGTACAAGGGGCAGAAGGTCGAGATGCGCGTGATCAAATTGCGTTTTGTGCATTCCATTTAGAGAGGTTTTCACTTGACTGTCGTAAAACCAAAACCAAAGTAAATACACTAGCCAACCAAAGGGCGTAGTAAAACCAAAACCAAAACCAAAACCAATCCCTTTCGACAGTCAAGTGAAAACCGCTCTATTCTTAGTGGAAGTCCAAACAAATACTGGCTACATACATGCGTCGCATGCGTAATAACAACCTAGAGATTAGGATTGCGGGCTCCTCTTGTCGCCTGCAATAAAATTACTAATGAGGCCTGATAGCAGTATGTAGATTCAGTGCATGGTTGTTGCCTTGATAACATTGCTTTTTTTGTTGAAAATAAAATTTTCTCTGCTCTTTGGTTTAGAGGAAGGCAAGCCTCTTGTAGTTTGGGGAACAGGATCACCTCGCAGGCAGTTCATTTATTCAAAGGTATGACTTTGGATGTTAGTGCAAATCCTGGGCGTGTAGTACTTGCCAAATCTTGAGGAGTATATGGTTCATAACTTACTTCATATATGTATCACGTAATATCATATTATTGTAATAAATAGGTCTAGTAAACATCGCGAGAGACACAAAAAACTCAGAAAACACCAAATGCTCAGTGGTGCTCAACGTCTCTGATATTGGTCAATCGGTTTTTTTAGATCTACGCTTACCCTTTCACGTTGCCTTTGCTAAATCTGCGTTATGTATCTACTGATGCCATTCTTAATTATGTCACCATGTCTATAATATGGTCATATGTGAGCAGTATCTAGGTCCAGACAACTTAGTTATTTGATAATCCAAGTATAGTTGGGATTTAAGTTGGAGAATGTCTGTCAGCATAACATTGCTGACTGAAAACAGTAAAGTACTCTACAAATTCAAGGATATCACAAGATTATGAAAATTGATGGTTCTGCGTTTTTTTTAAATTTAGGATGTTGCAAGATTGATGATTTGGGTTCTTAGAGAGTACAATGAAGTTGACCCCATAATCCTGTCAGGTTGGTAGATTCACTAAACTCAGTATGGCTTAGCTGCTCCTCTTTTGCTTATAGTGCTCCTCACTGGTATTTATTTCCAGTCAAATCAAATGTCATCTTAAGTTTCCCTGAGATATTATATAGAATATGCACATTTCCCCAAAAGTTTGTTATTCTCATGGAGACCTCAGATCTCTTTGACTGTAAAGTTTAGAACATGTAACCTGACATGGACTATTATTTATTTGGTTTGAGTTCCATATGAGTTACATAATGTGAGAAAAACATCTGATTTGTCTTGTACATTTACAGCCTCCCACACAGGTGTTTATGGGGGGCTTGTATTTTGTACTTCCCCGCAAACGCCTGCTCAACCGAGAACAACATTCCTTTCCCAAGCTTAGCCAATCACATTGCACCTTCCAAATTCTGGAACGTTGACCTTGACTGCAGGGTAACCTGATAATTAATCGATCTGCATGAATCACTGGGAAAGCTTTATTACCTCTAATTTAAATGTTAGACTCAGAGCGGCAAAAGTAAGATTTAGTCAGATTTTAGAATACTTCGATCTGTGCACTGCATAACCTTAGCAAAGGAGAGAAAAGAGGGAAAAGGGTAACTCTAGGGTCACATCTTTACCCTACCACGAGCTTATGAGTCGTGTTTAGCCTGTCAACACTTTATTTCAAAACTGTTGATTGGTCACTTGCCAGGCAAATAAAACAATGGGAAAGGAATGTTGTTCTCAGTTGAGCAAGCGTTTGTAGGGAGGGACGAAATACAAGCTCTCCTAAAAACACCTGCATGGGAGGCTAGTACGTTTACAGTGTAAGCATGGATTGGAGTGAGAGTGAAGTTTTTTTACTGCTGTGGCCAAAACACAATTACCCTTCAAAGGGATGTTGTTGAGAGGTGGGGGCCGAGGATTTCCTCTGGCTATATATTACGAATGTGGTCCCCGGGAGAAAAATAGAACCAAAAGAAATAACTAGCTGTTTGGTCCCCCACCTACTTGTTGTATTTACCTAGCAACCTGAAATCTTAGTGACATCACTACTTCATACCATCAATCTATGTCTTCCCCTTCTTTGAAAATTCCCAATTTTTCTCCTTCATCTTAGATCTTTCCAGAGCTGCATGACCCTGTTTGCTAGAGAATTGCTCGCAATACCTACACTGCAAATGGGAAAGGAAATGGGAGTTACAATAATAAATGCACCTTGAAAATCCTATTATCGTCTTTTCCACCTCCTTGTCTTTGCAAACAAATTTCAAAACTCAGAGCAACAATTTCCTAACAAATAGAATATACTCGGATCTCTCAAACTTTATCAGTGACTTGAAATGAGGTTATGTAACATTTTGCATAACTGATGAAGTTAGAGTGATGCCAACGAAAAACTTGATTTGTTTTGAAATTCTTGGTCTGAGTTTTCAAATTATTTTGCTAAAATTGTCTTCCCCAGATCTAGAGAGCAGATAAAAAATCTTTCTGGCAACTCCTCTTCTTATTTCTGCTTGTAAAAATGCGCAACGAAAGGCCATTTCGTATGACCTGTAGCTTAATATTAATTGTATGATTTAATTATGTCAAATAAGTAATCTGTGGTAATGTTTTGCTGTTTGCAGTTAATGAAGAGGATCAGCTGTCTATCAAGGAGGCTGCAGAGTTGGTTGTGGAAGGAATGGGTTTCAAAGGAGGCCTAGAAGTATCCTTATTATAAAATAAATGTTCTGTTACCCCTATATGATCACTGTTGTCGCTGTTGTCACTGTTGTGGCTGTTGTCGTTGTTGTCACTGTTGTCACCGTTGTCACCGTTGTCACTTTTGTCGTTTTTGTCGCTGTTGTCACTGTTGTCACTGTTGTCCCCGTTGTCACCGTTATCAATGTTGTCCCTGTTGTCACCGTTATCAATGTTGTCACTGTTGTCGCTGTTGTCACTCTTGTCGCTGTTGTCACTATTGTCGCTGTTGGCACTGTTTTTGCTGTTGTCACTGTTGTCACCGCTGTCACTGTTAATGTTGTCACTGTTGTCACCGTTGTCACTGTTGTCGCTGTTGTCACTGTTCTCACCGTTGTCACTGTTGTCAATCTTTTTGCTGTTGTCACTGTTGTCGCTGTTGTCACCGTGTTGTCACCGTTGTCACTGTTGTGACCGTTGTCATTGTTGTCACCGTTTTCACTGTTGTCGCTGTTGTCACTGTTGTCACAGTTGTCAATGTTGTGACCCTGGTCACTGTTCTCACTGTTGTCACCATTGTCACTGTTATCGCTGTTGTCACTGTTGTGACTGTTGTCTCCGCTATCATTGTTGTCACTGTTGTCGCTGTTGTCACTGTATTCACTGTTGTCACTGTCGTCTTTGTTGCCACTGTAGTTACTGTTGTCACTGCTGTCACTGTTGTCACTGTTGTCAACATTCTCACTGTTGTCACTGTCGTCTTTGTTGCCACTGTAGATACTGTTGTCACTGTTGTCACCGTTGTCACTGTCGTCTTTGTTGCCACTGTAGATACTGTTGTCACTGTTGTCACTGTTGTAACCATTGTCACTGTTGCACTTTTGTCGCTGTTGTCACTGTTGTCACTGCTGTCACTGTTGTCACTGTTGTCACTCTTTTTGCTGTTGTCAGTGTTGTCCCTGTTGTCACTGTTGTCGCTCTTGTCACTGTTGTCACCGTTGTCACTGTTGTCACTTTTGTGACCGTTGTCATTGTTGTCACCGTTGTCGCTTTTGTCACTGCTGTCATTGTTGTCACTGTTGTCACTGTTTTAACCATTGTTACTGTTGTCGTTGTTGTCACCGTCGTCACTGTTTTCACTGTTGTCGCTGTTGGCCCTGTCGTCACCGTTGTTACTGTTGTCACCGTTGTCACTGTTCTTACTATTCTCACTTTTGTCACTGTTGTCACTGTTGTCGCCGTTGTCGCTATTGTCACTGTTGTCACCTTTATCAGTGTTGTCACTGTTGTTACTGTTGTCACTGTTGTCACTGTGTTCACTTGTGTCACCGTGCGCGTTGTGGTTGTTGTCACCGTTCTCACTGTCGTCTTTGTTGCCACTGTTGTTACCGTTGTCATTGTTGTCACTGTTGTCACTGTCGTAACCGTTCTCACTGTTGAACTTTTGTCGCTGTTATCACTGTTGGCACCGTTGTCTTTGTTGTCACGGTTGTCAATGTTGTGACCCTCGTCACTGTTGTCACTGTTCTCACTGTTGTCACCATTGTCACTGTTATCGCTGTTGTCACTGCTCTGACTGTTGTCACCGCTATCAGTGTTGTCAGTGTTGTCGCTGTTGTTACCGTTGTCACTGTTATCACTGTTGTCGCTGTTGTCACTGTTGTCGCTGTTGTCACTGTTGTCAGCATTGTCTTTGTGACGGTTGTCGCTGTTGTCACCGTTGTCTCTGTTGTCACTCTTGTCAGTGTTGTCACTGTTGTCGCTGTTGTCACTGTTGTCACGGTTGTCACTGTTGTCATGGTTCTCACTGTTATCACCGTTGTGACTGTTGTCCCTGTTGTCGCTGTTGTTACTGTTGTCACTGTTGTTAGCGTTGTCACTGTTGTCACTGTTGTCACGTTTGTCGCTGTCGTCACTATTGTCACTGTTGTCACCGTTGTCACTGTTGTCGCCGTTGTCACTGTTGTCGCCATTGTCACTGTTGTCACTGTTGTCATTGTTGTTAGTGTTGTCACCATTGTCACTGTTTTCGCTGTTGTCACCATGGTCTTTGTTGTCACGGTTGTCACTGTTTTCCCTGTCGTCACTGTTGTTACCTTTGTCAGTGTTATGACTGTTGTCGGTGTTTTCACTGTTGTTACTGTTGTTACCATTGTCACTGTTGTGATCGTTGTCCCTGTTTTCAGTGTTGTCATTGTTAAGTTGTCGCTCTTGTCACTGTTGTCACTGTTGTCACTGTTGTCACCGTTGTCACCATTGTCACTCTTGTCACCATTGTCACTGTGGTCACTCTTTTTGCTGTTGTCACTGTTGTCATGGTTCTCACTTTTCTTGCTGTTGTCACTGTTGTCACCGTTGTCACCGTTGTCGCTGTTGTCGCTGTTGTTACTGTTGTCACTGTTGTCACCGTTCTCACTCTTGTCACTTTTGTCGCTGTTTTCACTATTGTCACTTTTGTCACTGTTGTCACTGTTGTCACCATTGTCACTGTTATCGCTGTTGTCACTGTTGGGACTGTTGTCACCGCTATCATTCTTGTCACTGTTGTCACTGTATTCACTGTTGTCACTGTTGTCGCTGTTGTCACTGTTGTCACTTTTAGCGCTGTTGTCACTGTCGTCTTTGTTGCCACTGTAGATACTGTTGTCACTGTTGCACTTTTGTTGCTGTTGTCACTGTTGTCACTGCTGTCACTGTTGTCACTGTTGTCAACATTATCACTGTTGTCATCATTGTCGCTATTGTCACTGTTGTCACTGTTGTCACCATTGCCTTTGTTGTCACGGTTGTCACTGTTGTCGCTCTTGTCACTGTTGTCGCACTTGTCACTGTTGTCACCATTGTCACTGTTGTCACTCTTTTGCTGTTGTCACTGTTGTCGCCGTTGTCGCTGTTTTCACTGTTGTCACGGTTCTCACTGTTGTCGCTGTTGTCCCTGTTGTCACCGCTGTTGCTTTTGTTGCTGTTGTCACGGTTGTCACTGTTGTCACTGTTGTCACCGTTGTCACTGTTGTCGCTGTTGTTACTGTTGTCACCGTTGTCGCTGTTGTCACTGTTGTCGCTGTTGTGACTGTTGTCACCATTGTCACCGTTGTCATCGTTGTCGCTGTTGTCACTGTTTTCACTGTTGTCACCGTTGTTGCCTTTCTCACTGTTGTCACCGTTGACACTGTTTTCACTGTTGTTGCTATTGTCACTGTTGTCACCGTTGTCACTGTTGTTACTGTTTTCAGTGTTGTCGCCGTTGTCACTGTTGTCACTGTTGTTACTGTTGTCTGCGTTGTCTTTGTTGTCACCGCTGTCACTGTTGTCACTGTATTTACTGTTGTCACCGTTGTCATTGTTGTCACCATTGTCACCATTATCACTGTTGTCACTGTTGTCACCGTTGTCACTGTTGTAGCTGGTGTCACTGTTGTCACCATTATCACTGTTGTTGCTGTTGTCAACATTGTTGCTGTTGTCACTGTTGTCACCATTGTCTTTGTTGTGACAGTTGTCACCGTTGTCACCGTTGTGACTGTTGTCGCGGTTGTCACAGTTGTCACTTTTCTCACCATTGTCACTGTTGTCATCCTTGTCGCTGTTGTCGCTGTTGTCACCATTGTCGCCGTTCTCACCGTTGTCACCGTTGTCGCCATTGTCACTATTGTCGCTGTTGTAACTGTTGTCACCATTTTCACTGTTGTCACTGTTGTCGCAGTTGCCACCGTTGTCGTGGTTGTCACTTTTATTACTGCTGTTCCCGTCGTCACTGTTTTCACTGTTGTCACCGTTGTCGCTGTTGTTGCTTTTGTTGCTGTTGTCATCGTTGTCACCATTGTCACTGTTGTCACCGTTGTCACTTTTGTCACTGTTGTCGCTGTTGTCACCGTTGTCGCTGTTGTCACTGTTGTCCCTGTTGTTACTGTTGTACCTGTGGTCACCATTGTCACCGTTGTCGCTGTTTTCCCTGATATCGCAGTTGTCACTGATATCGCTGTTGTCACCATTGTCGCTGTTGTCACTGATGACGCTGCTGTCACTTATGCCGCTGTTGTCACTGTTGTCACCATTGTCGCTGTTGTCACCGTTGTCGCTGTTGTCACTGTTGTCACCATTGTCACTTTTGTCACTGTTGTCACCGTTGTCGCTGTTGTCACTGTTGTCGCTGTTGTCACTGTTGTCACCATTGTCCCTGTTGTCACTGTTGTCACCGTTGTCACTGTTGTCACTGTCTTGTCACCATTGTCAGTGTTGTCACGGTTGTCGCTGTTGTCACCGTTGTCACTGTTGTCACCATTTTCACTGTTGTCACCGTTATCAGTGTTGTCGCTGTTGTTACCGTTGTCACTGTTGTCGCCGTTGTCACTGTTGTCACTGTATTCACTGTTGTCACCATTGTCGCTGTTGTCACTGTTGTCACTGTTGTCACTGTTGTCACTGTTGTCACAAGATTGGGTAAAAGTGAAGAAGAGTTCCCCTAAAAGTCTCTAGCTCTACTGATGGCCCATAGCCTATTGACAGTTGTGCACCAGATAACAGGACAGGGTTTTCTTCTGAACCAGAAGCCTTTGCTTGCACCGTAAAAAGCCTTCCACAGAATCTATATGCATGTTATCAACAATTTATTAATAAATCAATCTTAATCTCTGTTTTGTTCTGAAAACAAAACGAAACGAATTTGGACATGAAAAAGATCTCAGCAGGTCTTAAACAGGGTGGCAAATGAACATTTTGTTGTCTTAAACTGGGTCATGGTTTGAAGGCTTCGACAGGACACCTCTTTCCAAACTTGGCTGGATCAATATATGCTCCTGGGAAACTGCCCACCTACCCCTCCCCTGAGCCAGTATTTTTTTAGTGAGAAGTAAGTGTTAATGTTGGCTTAGGGGAGGGGTAGGTGGGCAGTTTCTCAGAAATGTATAGATCACCCGATTCAGAATGTAAGGGCTCCGCCTACTCAGCCCACCATAGTCATGGCCCTCAGTTTTAGTTGAAAGGGATCATTAGATAAAACTGTGTTGTGTGTAGTAAGAAATGGGGACATGAAAAGTGAAGTAGTCCTTAACGTTAACGTTAGTATGACACAACCAAGTCAGATGGCCAGTTCAAAAGGACAGCGAGTATTGCTAAATTAAAGAAATACCGACCAGACTTCAAGTTCACGGATCCTAAGATTGGTAAGTCAGCAGGTTCTTTCTGTGTTCCTTGGTCCTTGGTCTCTGAATACAAGAACACTCTTCAAATTGTTATTAGTTTCCTCAAAGCAGGGTCAGACAGAATTTTTTAGAATATAGAAAGGTGGGCATAAGATCCCTGATGTCATGAGATTCCTTGCATCAACTAGATTTAGATTCAGCTTTGTCACAGGCAGCCCAATAATTAGACTCTTGAACCTCATGGCCTAAATTATTGTAATCCATATCCTTAGTATTTTTCCTTTCCAGTTTTTATGTTGTACGTCATGTCCGCCTCTCCCTTTTATTGCGACATTCTCCATCTATATAATATTGTGATTGCTACATAAGTTCAGTAACATCTGTAATCCTGAAGAAGGCTGGTATGGCCAGCCGAAATATTGTTATAGAAAACAACACACGCTGTTTTTAAATCAGCTTTGCAGTAGTCTTTGGACTTCTCGTTCTTGGTCCAATAATTAGACCTTTAGCGCAGTGTGTGGTTCCTCTGGTATCGCATCCCTGAGGGTGTGAAATTCCTTGGGGTATAAAATTCCTTGTGTCCTTCCCTTTTTCGGGATGTAAGATTCACTCGCGTCATGTCACTCTCGGGAGTAAAAGATTCTTTATGTCATCAAATTTCTTGTTTCATAACTGTGATAAATTCCTTGGAGCTCTTGTGGTATAACAGACTACGAGTAGTCCCCATTTTTCCTCAGGGATAGTAGAGCGAGCGAAACGCAAGCGCGTGTGAAAATCACCCCACGCGAGAAAGGCGAGACGCGGTGGGGAAAGAAAAAAGTTTCTCGCGTGGGGTGATTTTCACGCGCACTCGCTTTTCGTTCCCTGAGGAAAAATGGGGGACTACTCGTAGTCTAGTGGTATGACATTCCTTAGGGTTGGTACCTTGGAGTGAAATTGCTTGTCCCATGACATTCCTTTCGTGACAAGAATTCTTGGGATATGACGACATTCTTTAGGGTAAATATTCCTTGGGGTGTAATATCCTTTATGCCTTGGGCTCTTACAATGTATGGTCCTTGTAGTATAAATGTTTTATTGGGTGAAAAGTTCCTTATGTCACAACTTCATCCCCAGGGTCTTTCACTACTCGTCCCGCAGAGCGAGAAGGGGAGGTAGTAATTTGGGATATCCAACTGTTTGCACTTTTTTTCCTGCAGAAGTGATAATGTTTCTGTTTTCTCGTCCTATTTTAGCTATCAAGGAAAGCTGCGAGTGGTTCCTGGCCAACTATGAAACTTGCCGAAAGTGATGAATTTAAAATTTTTGAACTGTTGTTTGTATACGAAAGAATCTGCTTTAGTCAAAAATATAATATTGGAACTAGGAATGTACTGCTTTAGTCCCATTTATTAGAATTACGTGCTTGTCATTAAAATGACTACAGCAAAGACATCGAATGGTTAAATCGTTACTTGCTCATTTTCTTTAAATTTGGAAATAAAAGTTTAAGAATACCTTGCATATCAACAAGATCCAAAAGCATGGTCTACTGAAGTCCTTTTTACCTTGTTTTTATTCCAATAACAATGTTGTTCTCAATTTTGTGTTTGCTATTAGTATAGGTAATAGCGTGATTTGTAGTGATATTTGCAATAAATACCACGAGGGATATTTCGAAATTGTTATACATAATTTCACGAGCCGTTTAGGCTAGTGAAATTTGAGACAATTTTGAAATATCACGAGTGGTATTTATGCCAGATATCACGTACAAATCATGCTATTACCTATACTAATAGCAAACACAAAATTGAGAACAACATTGTTATTGGAATAAAAACAAGGTAAAAAGGACTTGTTTATACTACTAGGTATTTCAAGTTAAGCTGAAATACCACTGCTCTAAGCCAATCAAATTGCAGAAATTTCCCATGTAGTAGTATAGGCGGCAAAATAGAGATACTTTGCTTCCCCCACACCCTCCCTCACATGCTTTCATTTTCTCCTCTCCCCGGTCTCCCGACGACTCAAAGAGGCCTCTGCGGAGAAGGTTAGTTAGCCTTCCATGCAGACGTCTTTAGGGCTTCGTCACGCGGCACGCATTCCCACCCCTTGTTTTTGGACGATCAACCCTTCAGAAATTGCTATTTTATGTTTCGTGAATTGGTAGCTCCACTAAAAGAATAAGTTGCCAAGTCGCGAAATAACTGGAGCTCGGCCTGGCTTTATACAGTGGAAGATTCGTTTAGAAGTAAAAACTTTGAAAGTAAATGGTATGATAAGGAACCAGGAGGGCGTTGGTGTATTCCTCTACACCTTAATGAAATTCCTTTCCTTTTTTTTTCGAATTGCAGGTTAATTTGGTGCCCAATATACTACTAACGTTTCGTGTTTATTGGAAAGTGACCGCTGAAAAACGATCAAAGAACGATCAAATGAGTACCTGAGTTCACCTTGTGCTGGATCTTCTTTTTCGTTCTTAATTGTGCTTAATCATGGTTAAGCATAGTTCTTGTACTTACATGTGTATCTTTGAGTTAAAAGTATGTTTCGTCTAGTAAGTTTGTTAGCTTTTCCCGGCGAAATTACAGTTTTTTTAATAAGTGAAAAGGTGTTAACGAAAGAGTAAGATCATTTTTGAAAGTGTACAATGAGTGGTGATCGGCTTGGTTTTCAGAATTAGTTTTTAGAATTGATTTTAGGACGTTTTCCGAATTTCGAGTTTTTGATTCGTTTTGCTTCAGACACTATACATGTACCTTTTGAAAGTTTCCAGGGCAATTTCACAACTAAATTCAGGAGGACTTCATTTATTTAATTAGTTTCAGAATTATGCGCCAAGAACTTCGTCTAACTTTCCTTGGCGTGCATTTTATATCAATAGACAAACCTCTACGAAGCGGTCACCCTCTGGAATTAACCAGGTGTCCGCTTAATAGAGGTGACCGTTGAATAGAGGTCATATTTACATTAAATATGGGAAGCAAATTTCGGGAAATTGATAGGCGACCGCTTAATAGAGGGCCGCTCAAGAGGTTTGACTGTAAACTGATGACCTGACACCCATTTAAATTCTTCTTAACTGAGCAGGTCATTGTTTAAAGGAATACAGGGTCCACACAGTCTTGAAAAGTCCTTGAGTTTTAGGGGTATAGAACGATTCCTCGAAAAACTGGGGTCTCGCAGTCGCGCGCAGTGTCGGATTTTCCATTCTATACCCCTAATTTTAGGAAGTCTTTGAAGTCCATTTTTCCTTCAAAAGTCCTTAAATTTCTGTGCAATCCTTGAAAGGCTTGGCGAACCAAAAAGCAGAAACTCCCCCTCCTTCTTCATGGCCAGCGGTAGCCTACGGTAGCGGTAAGTACTTCATATATGATTAATATAGTGTACCGAGATCTATTCTTTAATGGTAGAGTGTCTGTCTTGGCCTACTTTAGTCAATACTTGGCGCCTGAATGTAAGATAAATTCGATGTCCGAAATTGCTGGCCATGATCGAGATTTCAAGTACGTTATAGGTCATTATAGCCTCAAATCGCTTAATGACTTGCTTGTTTCCTTTGAATTCAGAAACCTATTCAGGGGCACCCAAAGAGAATATAGTTCAACACCACTTAAACGTATTTTAGTATTTAAACGGTAGATATAGGCATATTTTTTATCCCCTAAAAATCTTTCATCTGTTCGAATTTCCGAGATGAAAGTCTAGTGATCCGAAAATTATAGGGATCAAAACTTTCCTTTTCAAAAATTTCAGCCACAAAAAAGGCTCCTGAAAATTCTAGGTGACCTTTTTAGGGTACAAAATATGTTAGGTGTGGGCAATTATACCATTTTTCCTAACAAATGTTCCGAAAATTCTAGATCTCAAATCGTCTTTCGAACAGATATTTTCCGAAAATTGACATTGGGTGCCCCCGCTTATTGGGGTGCGATAAGGAGCAAACTGAGAGGACAGGGAGTAGGATGAAAACGACAGCAGCTATTTAGAACGACATAGGTTGCATAGCGGTCCTTTTCTTTTCGAGGGTCCCAGCATCTTTTCCGCTCTTTCTCGTGCCCATGTCGTTCACATTTGAACTTAAGTCTTAGAAAAACATGGTTTAAGTTTGGTTGTGAACTGCTTCGTTGATTCATTGTTAGGTCGACAAAGTTATTGCAAGAAAGTTGTTCAACAATGTGTGCTTATCCCAGCTATACACTGACTGACTTCAAAATTCTTGTTTCAACTTCAAATAGGGCATTCTATTTCTAACCAGGCGAAACCCTGATCGGAGCTGATGCTAGACTACAAAGGCGATTTCCTTTAAAAAACAAGAAAAACGAAAAAAAAAACAGCCCAAAACTTGAATTGTCTCAAATCAATCACCAAATCGTCCAAAGCTTGCTTAACTCGTTTGCCAACTCGGTTTCCAACTTGGTTCTTAACTCGGTTGTTAGTTTAACTCCCCATACGTTCACTATTAATATACTATATTACAATATTATTTCTGAAAATTTTTAACGACATTGTTGTCAGGTGCTACTCTTCCACTGAAAGATTGCGGATCGCTTGCGTTTCATGAAAACTGAGGCAAGTCAAGTTGCCAGGATAACTCAGGATGACTTTATGAACAATTTAAAAGACCTGAACCACTGCTAAGTCTCACGAACTCACTGAAAATCTATCGTGCGTCGACTCTGATCGCAAAGAGAGCTCGGAACTGCTCAAGTCTATCCTTGCTTCACTGTTGCTTCTCTCTTGACCAACCGATGTGGCGATATTACAATCGATTGATGACTTGGTATTTAAGTGGTAAGTATAATCAACTAATTTTATAGTTAAACGCCACGATATTTTTTACAACATAAAGTTTTTCAAAGTTTGTGATTCGAGCAAGAACATAGCTGACGAGCGTTAGACTGACTAGATGTTCGATACTCTGCTACTGAGAGAACCGTGGACCAACAATTTCACATTAATTTTGTTATGTTTATTTTTATGCTTTGATTGATTATTTTCTGGTTATTCCCCATATAGAGTTTTATCATAAAGTGCAGTTGCACCGCCTGACGTCGCGCTCCCAAGGATAAAAGCCAACATTGAAACATGAGAGTATGAACATGTAAGAAATTATTATTTATATACTACTTTTGTCGTACCCTGCCCTGTCGTGAAAAAACTGGTCAGAAATTTAACTCAATTTTATTTTCTTAAGGTGACTCGACCCAGTTTTTTTGGGGGGTACCATCCTACTTTGAAGCTCTCTGGTATCCCCACCTTTACTTTTATCGTAAGTCTAACACATAGAATGCATAACATATAGATCAATCTACAATATAACATAAAATTTTGGGCGATCGGAGTAAATGTCACGTGGTTATAATGCCACGCCCCTTTGAGGTCTGAGTCGAAAATCGGCTGTTGCCGGCATTTTTTTGTGAAAATCTCTCGGCTACACGTAGTGCGCATTAGTGCCTTGCGCTGAACAGAGTTTCACCAAAATCGCAAAGACCCAATTCGAGAAATTCAGCGGTTTCCAAATTTAGGTCATAATTTATGCGAAAATGATAAGCAAACTTTACACGGATTACTTCTAATAAACCAAGAGATTCATCTCTTTATTTTGGGCATCGTTATAACAGATGGGTCCTTGCAAGTCAGCAAAACGCTTTAGGGCCTTGTAAATGCGCGCGATTTCGAGCAAAGCAAACATATAGAAATTATAGTTTTCGCTATTTGTTGACGTTTGTCAGCGTTTGAGAGTCCTTCTCACGAAAAAAGCATTTTCTTAAAAATTCGTAGTTTTTTTTCCTTCAAATTTTTTCAGGGCCACAATTGATTAACTAACTACCCGGACTCTGAATTTCATGGCCATTGAAAAACTGTGACATTATCTTCTATAAGCTCAGACTTGAGTAAACATTGAAGATTTTTAGCGTTTTGGCTGAGTTTGTGCTTTGGGAGTTGTCTATTGTTTCTAGTCTGTCATTATACAGCATTCTTGTTCAGCACGCGTGCAATGACCACGCTTGGCTGACTTCCGAATGCTCACCGAGATATTCCCGTCACGAGCTGGTTTAATTATTGGCTTGCATTAAACCTATGAAAAAATGATATTTTTGTAATAGTAAGTAGACTTAGTGTGTAGCACTTCTTGATTTTTTTGCAAAGACACAAGAAGCACGAGAATTGATTAAAAATTGTTAGTTAAAACTCTATGTATCACGCGATGGCCTGTCTGACTGTACCAAAATTATAATATCTCGGTGAGCATTCGGAAGTCAGCCAAGCGCGGTCATTGCACGCGTGCTGAACAAGAATGCTGTATCATGACAGACTAGAAACAAAAGACAACTCCCAAAGCACAAACTCAGACAAAACGCTAAAAATCTTCAATGTTTACTCAAGTTTGGGCCTATAGAAGATAGTGTCACAGTTTTTCAATGACCATGAAATTCAGAGTCCGGGTAGTTAGTTAATCAATTGTGGCCCTGAAAAAATTTGAAGGAAAAAAAACTACGAATTTTTAAGAAAAGGCTATTTTCGTGAGAAGGACTCTTAAACGCTGACAAACGTCAACAAATAGCGAAAACTATAATTTCTATATGTTTGCTTTGCTCGAAATCGCGCGCATTTACAAGGCCCTAAAGCGTTTTGCTGACTTGCAAGGACCCATCTGTTATAACGATGCCCAAAATAAAGAGATGAATCTCATAGTTTATTATATATAATCCGTGTAAAGTTTGCTTATCATTTTCGCATAAATTATGACCTAAATTTGGAAACTGCTGAATTTCTCGAATTGGGTCTTTGCGATTTTGGTGAAACTCTGTTCAGCGCAAGGCACTAATGCGCACTACGTGTAGCCGAGAGATTTTCACAAAAAAATGCCGGCAACAGCCGATTTTCGACTCAGACCTCAAAGGGGCGTGGCATTATAACCACGTGACATTTACTCCGATCGCCCAAAATTTTATGTTATATTGTAGATTGATCTATATGTTATCCATTCTATGTGTTAGACTTACGATAAAAGTAAAGGTGGGGATACCAGAGAGCTTCAAAGTAGGATGGTACCCCACCAAAAAAACTGGGTCGAGTCACCTTAACACAAGCTTTTTTCTGTTCTTGCCATCAGTTGCTTGTTGAGATCACATCCAGCCGTGGACGATCAGTACCCGGCGGAGTTTGATAAAGAAAAAGTGAAGAGAGAGTTTTATTTTGTTTTGTTTTGTTTTACAAGCTTTTCTGGACACAGGCCTGCCCAGAGGGAATAGGCATGAACGGGACTCACAGTTCCCATGCAAGGTGCCATCCCTACCCAATCCCACAAGCCGTTAAAGAAATTAAGGTAAGTATTTTAAACTAGTGAGTTTCGTTAAATCAAATCCAGATTCCTGAATCAAATAATGAAACTGAAAAGGAAAACCGGTAATGTTGATGGATATTGGTGAAGTTGAGGATGTAAGGATAACAACAGGACAGGCATATGTATGAACGTACAAGGGAAACAATTGAATTAACGAAGCACGACAAGTTGAGGTTCAGCAGTGACTGGTTTCCTCCGCTTATCTCCGTGGATTTTTTAGCAAGTGTAAATCATTTGCAATAGTTAATTGAGGTAATTGGTCTTAAAAACACAAAATTATTAAGTAATGGTAATATCATAGAACCACCCGGAAACTTAGAAGAAATGTTTCCCATCCGCGGATATTGCAAGTTACTCAGTTGTTTTCTAGCATGGGCATTCTTGCAATATAAACTGTCTTAAAGAAATTCAACTTGGTTTTTTTTTTATTTTAGTGTCAAAATACTCCATTCCTTTTGGAGATTTTTTTTTTAGTTAACTCGCACTTCAGACATAATTGCACCAGAATTCCATCCTTTAACTCGCACACATAATTTCATTAGTATTCAGAATCAAAATACATTAATTTCTTCTTGTTTTCTCTCTTCGTTTACAGATTAGAAACGGGATAAGAATTCAGCCGCCTAAATACAACACTGAGAGAATACTGGCAACTTGACTTGCCTCAGTTTTCAAGAAACGCAAGCGATCCCCAATCTTTCAGTGGAAGAGTAGTACCTGACAACGATGTTGTTAAAAATTTTCAAAAATGGTATTGGCCGAATTTGCGCATGGTTGGACAAATTTGAATCATTATTATACTTTCTCGCAAACATTCGTGAGAATCTATTGTACGGAAAATGTACCTACACAGAAACGCACGTAAAATATTCATCTCATTAGCACAGCATAAAAGGTTGGGCCGCGTTAGTGAAAGTATGGGGAGTTAGACTAACAACCGAGTTAAGAACCAAGTTGGGAAGCGAGTTGGCAAGCGAGTTAAGCAAACTTTGGACGATTTGGTTATTGATTTGAGACAAGTTTTTGGCTGATTTTTTTTTCTTTTCTGTTGCTTTTTAAAGGAAATGGTCTTTGTAGTCTAGCATCAATTCCGATCAGGATTTCGCCTGGTTAGAAATAGAATGCCCTATTTGAAGTTGAAATAAGAATTTTGAAGTCAAGTCAGGTTATAGCCGGGATAACAACACATTGCTCAACAACTTTCTTGAGCTAACTTTGTCTATAGAACAGTGAATCAATGAGGCAGCTCACAACCAAACTTAAACCATGTTTTTCTAAGACTAAAGTTCAAATGTGAACGACAGCGGCACGAGAAAGAGCGGAAAAGATACTGGGACCCTTGAAAAGAAAAGGACCGCTACGCAACTATCGGCGTTCTGCATAGTTGCTGGCGTTTTCATCAGACTCCCTCTCCTCTCATGTGCTCCTTCTCGCACCCCAATAGGTTTCTGATCTGTATGGCCAGAAATTTCGGACATCGAATTTAACTTACAAGTAACTAAAGTAACTAAAGTAGGCCAAGACACTCCAGAAACCAAAGACACTCTACCATAGAAGAGATATATCTCGGTACACTATAATAATCATATATGAAGTACCGACCCCCCCCATCGTAGGCTACCGCTGGCCATGAAGAAGGAGGAGGAGTTTCTGCTTTTTAGTTTGCCAAGCGTTTCAAGGCTTGCGCAGAAAATTTAAGGACTTTTGAAGGAAAAATGGACTTCAAAGACGTCTCCTAAAATTAGGGGTATAGAATGGAAAATTCGACGCTGCGCGCGACTGCGAGACCCCAGTTTTTCGAGGAATCGTTCTATACCACTAAAACTCAAGCACTTTTCAAGACTGTGTGGACCGTCTATTCCTTTAAACAATGACCTGCTCAGTTAAGAAGAATTTAAATGGGTGTCAGGTCATCAGTTTACAGTCAAACTTCTTGAGCGGCCCTCTGTTAAACGGTCGGCTATCAATCTCCCGAAATTTTCTTCCCATATTTACTGCAAATATGACCTCTATTCAACGGTCACCTCTATTAAGCGGACACCTGGCTAATTCCTGAGGGTGACCGCTTATTAGAGGTTTGTCTATTGATATAATATGCATGCCAAGGAAAGTTAGACGAAGTCCTTGGCGCATAATTCTGAAACTAATTAAATAAATGAAGTCCTCCTGAATTTAGCTGTGAAATTGCTTTGGAATCTTTCAAACGGTATTGGGTCAGAAGCAAAACGAGCCAAAAACTCTAATTTTCGGGACACGTTCTAAAATTAATTCTGAAAACCAAGCCGATCACCACTTATTGTACTCTTTCAAAAATACTCTTAAGTTTTGTAACTACTCTTTCATTAACACCTTATCACTTATTGAAAAAAATTCAAAGTCATTCAACGGCGTTCGACGTTCTGTAATTCGGCCGGGAAAAGTTAACAAACTTACTAGACGAACCATACTTTTAATTCAAAGATGCACATGTAAGTACAAGAACTATACACATGATTAAGCACATTCAGGAAGAAAAAGAACATTAAGTGAAATCAGGTACTCATTTGATCGTTCTTTGATCGTTTTTCTGCGGTCATTTTCCGATAAACACGAAACGTTAGTAGTATATTGGGCACCAAATTAACCTACCTTGAGGATAGATTTTCATTGAATAGGTTACAACTCGAAAAAAAGGGAAAGGAATTTCATTAAGGTGTAGAGGAATACACCAACGCCCCCCGGTTCCTTATCATACCATTTACTTTCAAAGTTTTTACTTCTAAAAGAATCTTCCACTGTATAAAGCAAGGCCGAGCTCCAGTTATTTCGCGACTTGGCAACTTATTCTTTTACTGGAGCTATCAATTTACGAAACATAAAATAGAATTTCTGAAGGGTTGATCGTCCAAAACAAGGGGTGAGAACGCGTGACGGGTGAAGAAGCCCTAAAAACGTCTCTTTGGAAGGCTGACTAACCTCAGGAACCATCTTCTCTTCCCCGCAGAGGCCTCTTTGTGTCGTCGGGAGACTGGGGAGAGAGGAAAATGAAAGCATGTGGGAGGATGTGTGGGGGAAGCAAAGTATCTCTATTTTGCTGCTAATAGCAAACACAAAATTGAGAACAACATTATTATTGGAACGGAAACAAGGTAAAAATGACTTTAATCGACCATGCTTTTGGATCTTGCTGACATGCAAGGTATGCTTAAACCTTTATTTTCCAAATTTAAAGAAAATGAGCAAGCAACGATTCACCATTCGATGCCTTTATTTGCTGTAGTCATTTTAATGACAAGCACATAATTATAATAACTTGGACTAAAACAGTACATTCCTAGTTCCAATATTATATTCTTGACTAAACCAGATTCTTCCGTATACAACCAACAGTTCAAAAATTCTAAATTCATCACTTTCGGCAAGTTTCATAGTTGGCCAGGAACCACTCGCAGCTTTCCTTGATAGCTAAAATAGGACGAGAAAACAGAAACATTATCACTTCTGCAGGAAAAAAAGGGCAAACACTTGAATATCCCAACTGACTATCGCCCCTTCTCGCTCTGCGGGACGAATAGTGGAAGACCCTGGGGATGAAGTTGTGACACAAGGAACTTTTCACCCAATAAAACATTTATACCACAAGAACCATACATTGTAACAGCCCAAGGCATAAAGAATCTTACACCCCAAGGAATATTTATCCTAAAGTATGTCATATCCCAAGAATTCTCGTCACGAAAGGAATGTCATGGGACAAGCAATTTCACTCCAAGGTACCAGCCCTAAGGAATGTCATACCACTAGACTACGAGTAGTCCCCCATTCTTCCTCAGTGTTAACAGAGCGAACGAAACGCGAGTGCGCGTGAAAATCACCCCACGCGAGAAATTTTTCTCTTTCCCCGCCGCGTCTCGCCTTTCTCGCGTGGGGTGATTCTCACGAGCGCTTGCGTTTCGCTCGCTCTACTATCCCTGAGGAAAAATGGGGACTACTCGTAGTTTATTATACCACAAGAGCTCCAAGGAATTTATCACAGTTATGAAACAAGAAATTTGTTGACAAAAGGAATCTTTTACTCTAGAGAGTGGCATGACGCAAGTGAATCTTACATCCCGAAAAAGGGAAGGACACAAAGAATTTTATACCCCAAGCAATTTCACACCCTCAGGGATGTTATACCAGAGGAACCACACACCCCTAAAGATCTAACTATTGGGTAAGGAATCTCATGACACCAGGAATCTTTATTTATTTATTTATCCAGGGGCATCCAATTTAGCAGAGCTAGTTTAAATGGAGCCCTGACACCACCTTTCTCTATTTTAAAAATTCTGGCTGACCCTGCTTTGAGGAAACTAATAACAATTTAAAGAGTGTTATTGTATTCAGAGACCAAGGGCCAAGAACACAGAAAGATCCTGCTGACTTACCAATCTTAGGATCCGTGAACTTGAAGTCTGGTCGGTATTTTCTTAATTTTGCATTACTTGCTGTCTTTTTGAACTGGCCATCTGACTTGGTTGTGTCATACTAACATCCATGTTAAGGACTACTTCACCTTTTATGTCCCCGTTTCCGCAACAAAGTGTTATCTTATGATCCCCTTCGACTAAAACTGAGGGCCATGACTATGCTGGGCTAAGTACATTGTAGGTGGAGCCCTTACATTCTGAATGGGGTGATCAATACGTTTCTGAGAAACTGCCCACCTACCCCTCCCCTAAGCCAACATCAACACTTACTTCACACTTGGGGCAAAATATTGGCTCAGGGGTGGGGTAGGTGGGCAGTTTCCCAGAAGCGTATAGTTTGGAAAGAGGTGTCCTGTCGAAGCCTTCAAACCATGACCCAGTTTAAGACAACAAAATGTTCATTTGCCACCCTGTTTAAGACCTGCTGAGAGCTTTTTCATGTCCAAGTTCGTTTCGTTTTGTTTTCAGAACAAAACAGAGATTAAGATTGTTTTATTAATAAATTGTTGGTAACATGCATATAAACTCTGTGGACGGCTTTTTTTGTACGAGCAAAGGCTTCTGGACCAGAAGAAAACCCTGTCTTGTTATCTGGTGCACAACTGTTAATAGGCTAGGGGCCATCAGTAGACCTACAGACTTTTAGGGGAACTCCTCTTCACTTTTACCCATTCTTAGGGCTAACAGAACATTTATTTTATAATAAGGATACTTCTAGCCCTCCTCTGAAACCCATTCCTTCCACAACCAACTCTGCAGCCTCCTTGATAGACAGCTCATCCTCTTCATTAACTGCAAACAGCAAAACATTACCACAGATTACCTATTTGACACAATTAAATCATACAATTAAAACTACAGGTCATACGAAATGGCCTTTCCTTGTACATTTTTACAAGCAGAAATAAGAAGAGGAGTTTGCGGAAGGGACAAAATACCAGCCCCCTATAAACACCTGCGTGGGAGGCTGTAAATGTACAGGACAAATCAGATGTTTTTCTCATATTCTGTAACTCATATGGAACTCAAACCAAATAAATAAAAGTTCATATCAGGTTACATGTACTTAATTTACCAATCAAAGCACGACATGTAAAAACAAGGTTCTAAACTTTACAGTCGAAGAGATCTGAGGTCTCAATGAGAATAACAAACTTTTGAAGAAATGTGCATATATTTTGTACATAATATCTCAGGGAAACTTAAGATGACATTTGATTTGACTGGAAATAAATACCAGTGAGGAACACTGCAAACAGAAAGAAATAAGCAGATGAGGAGCAACTAAGCCATACTGAGTTTAGTGAATCTACCAACCTGACAGGATTATGGGGTCAATTTCATTGTACTCTCTAAGAACCCAGATCATTAATCTTGCAAGATCCTAAATTTAAAAAAATTCAGAACCATCAGTTTTCATAATCTTGTTATATCCTTGAATTTATAGAGCACTTTACTGCTGTCAATCAGCAATGTTATGCTGACAGACATTCTGCAAGTTAAATCCCGAAAATACTTGGATTATAAAACAACTAAGCTGTCTGGACCTACATACTGCTCTAAGAGGACCATATTACAGAAATGGTGACATAAATAAGAATGGACTTTGTATTAGTCGGCAGAAGGCACCAGTAGATACATAACACAGATTTAGCAAAGGCAGCATGAAAGGGTAAGTGTAGATCCAAAAAACCGATTGACCAATGTCAGAGCGGTTGACCACCAGAGCATTAGGTGTTTTCTGTGTGTCTTTACACTCTTACGATGTTGCATTGTCTTTACTAGATATGTTTATTATGATCATATAATTAGGTAATACATATATACGCAGTAAGTTATTAACCATTAGTTTCAGTTAAATTCTCAAGATTTGCATTAACATCCAAAGTCATACCTTTGAATAAATGAACTGCCTGCGGGGTGAGCCTGTTCCCCAAACTACAAGAGGCTTGCCTTCCTCTAAACCAAAGAGCAGAACAAAAAAAGCAATGTTATCTGCACTGCTTGACAAAGGCAACAACCATGCACTGAATCTACATACTGCTATTAGGCCTCATTAGTCAGGCAGCTGGAGGGAGGGCTGATGTGGATCCGCTACAGCAATTAATGCATTACATGTTAAGACACTTGATGTTTCAATGTTGACCCCCACTAAACTACCAGGGCCTAGTTGTCACCTACACTTAACGAAGAGCAGGGTAGGTTCTTTTACATCCCACAAGGATCGCAACAATGAAAGAGCTCTGAGACCAGCCGTTCCTAAAGTTTATCATTCTTATGAGAGAAGACAAGAATGTCTAACCATTTTGTAGATGTCAAACAAAGGCAGTAAATTCTCGTCACTTATTTTACGACCCTGAGAGTTGGTCCAACCAGGGTTTGGACCCATAATCTCCCACTCGGCAGACAAGTGCTTGGTCAAATTGACCAGACCGTGCACCAGTTAAGTTCAACTTATTGTAATTCAAAAGCATTTGCTGCTATTGTCAAATGAATACGTGTTTGTCTCGATAATCAAAAACGAAGCAAATGGTTACTTCAAACTCACTTTGTGCTAGGTATACTTTATGCATCAATCCAGGAAGAACATGGGAATCCTCCAAATTAAAGTTGTCATGCTTTCCATAAACATTGGTGGGAACAACACTGGTAAACAAACATCCATCTGGATGCTGTTGGTGATAAGCCCTGCAAAATATTGATCACTAGTTAATTCTTAACTGTTAAAATAATACGTATGGACCCAGTAGGCATCAATACCAGCTTATGAACCACTAATGAGCCACAGAGAATCCACACAGTACTTGATTCTTGTACCATGAAAGACCCATGGGTATTTTCCCCTCTTCCTTAAAAAGGTTCCTGTACCTTTCATCTCTAACAAACAAGGTACCACAAAAGTGCTGTCCAATAGAGTGGGGCCAGTGGAATGATCTGTCACGCGAGCAAATTTTAATTACAAGTTGCTTTTTGGCCAAGCAAGCAACTTTTGGATTTTATTTATTTTCTCCATTTATCTTATATTACAGGCCATTTATATTATATTACAGATTTGAAGATATATTTCTTCAGATTTTTAAAAATACCAGATTACAAGAAGTGTAAAGGAAGGTAAGTATGCCTGCCTAGCATGACTTCTCCAAACTTTTCATGTATCAATGCACTATTTTTTTTTGTGACAACCAAATTTATGTCTGGCAAAAAGGTGACTTTGAAAAAAGCTGCCCTTGGAGCACTCTTCTTTACTTTATTTTTGCTCAAGACATAAGAAAGAAGCCAAAGGGGAGTCATGAATTCAGTCAAAGGATACCACTAGAAGTTCTAAAGAGTGTTGCAGATCAACCCAAACTAAGGCTGCACTGCAGTTTCTTCCCACCCCGTCACTCACCTGTTCTGTACATCAATCATACGTTTGGCATATGAATAACCAAAGTTAGAGGTGTGTGGTGGACCATTATGCACCATTGTTTCGTCGATGGGATACGTGGTCTTGTCTGGGAAAATGCACGTTGAAAGGCAAGAAACACACTTCTTTACCTGAGCCATGAAAACCAAAACAAAATGTCACAATCACTTATCAATAGTTATAAAACTGTAAAGGGTTCTGGAGGAATGTGGTAGAAAACATTTTTTTTTTGCGATATGTTAAAAAGTGATGTTGATTGTGCAGCATAATTGCATTGCCAGAAAACTGAACAGTTAACTGAGAAGACCTGGGGACGAGGTTGAGTTGTTTTGGTAGCGAGTACAAAATGGCGGAACATTTCACTCGTTTCAAGAGGAAGAAATAAATGAACTATTGGCTAAAAACATAGCAAGAACAGCAAGAAGACAACTTGACAGATGGCATCTGCTATTTGGACAATATTTGTAGAACTGAGCAACACTTTATCTCCTAAACTTGCCGATAAACATGTACTATCCAAGATGAACGTAACATCGATGGAGGAAAGCTTATTTTAGCTTGTTTTCAATTTAACTAAGAATTATCTTAAATAAATTATAAATCAATTATTGAATTCACCTTTTATATCATCTGAAGAATTATGGAGATCTCGGAGGGTGTTATCCACCATGGCCTAACCCTCCTTGATCTCCATAATTCTTCAGATGATACTCAGCCTCATCCAACAATACTGTTAATGACATTATGATGGAAATACCTTGCATTATTTAATTAGCCACTTGGACACTCACCTTAGTCAAGTGACAAGTATTCAAAACATTGTCATTGATCAGGGTATTTAACCTCTGCAAATAAGTCAATAACATAATTTATCAACTACATGTACTTATTACAAAATTTCCATTAAATGAATAGCTCAGTACAAAAGCCAGTACAAGGAATCCTCAAGGGTAACTCAATGAAAAATGAATTTAATCCTTTCATTTTGACTGATGCAATTAAAACAAGATGTCCACATTCTTCTCAATCCAGTCATGCTCCTTTTTGTAAAACAACTTTTTATTTATAACCTTAAAAAATGTCCAAAAAAAGGACATTTTAAAAAGTACAGCTGTATGCCAAGTATAACAACCCTCTGTGCTGCAGGATTCAGGGAAAACTTTTTTCAGTTTTATCAAGCAATCCTCATAACCCAAAGCCTGACATGGGAAATAAGCATTGAAAAGTGATGTTCTTTATCCCTGGACAGGAAAATGTCAGTGAAATAATTCTTGACTCAAGACAGAATGAAGCACTTCAGTGTCATTGAACGAAGTGCATAACATTTTAGCTAGATTCACATTGGGACATCAAACATGAGCCACATTTCTGCTCATACATCAGCAAAGATTAAATCACTGATTTAATATTACTCCCCATTATTATAATTATGGCTGGTCCCATGAGCTTGCAAGATCAAGTGAGTCCTGTGTTCTTGCCCACTCAGGGTTTCCCGCGTTGGTCCCGAAAGAAACGATTTTGGTTTGGTCATATATAAAATCCTTTATTGACCAAGCTTGTTCAGTGAAGATAGTTGGATATTAGAGTCATTCTTTGTTGCATTTCTATTGGCCTTAATTAAGTTTTTCTTTGTCCATAAAAAGACAAAGAAATAACTTGGCCAATACCTAGCCATCTTGACTGAACAGACTTGGTCAATAATGCATAATTATCTACTGTACAATATGTACAGTATGTATCTCCTTGTCATATAGCTGGAAATTTCTTCCCAACAGTGCGCACTCTCATTGGTTACTTCGAGGTCACATGACATCTAACAATGAAACTGTTTCCTGCCAAAAAATCTCAGAGCAGGCAACATTACAAAATCTATGACATCGGACTGGGTAACAGTGCCCTGTTACCTGCAAATGTTAACTGATGACCACCGTTACAGCAACCGTTTCCTGAGGTGAATTGAGATTCTTAGGAAACAAAATTATATATTTCCCTTTGGGACCAGCCATTAGTGTTTATTAGAGTCAAGTAGTTCTATTCTTACCCAGAAATCAAGATTGTACTTGAGGTTCTTGAAAAGTCCACCCACAAGAGCAGCTAAATGGATCACATGTGTTGGCTTGTGCTTTTCAAAAATTGCTTTAGTTGCCGCTGAATCACTACAATAGTGGCATAATGTTTCAAAACTCTGTTAGTACTTTATGTAGATTGTTACACAAATTCAAGGAAAGGCTTAAAAATAAGACATCACACAAGACTTGTGAAGTATCAACATATGCCAGACAGTCTGAGATTATTATTACTTCTCTTCCTGAATAATATATCATGATAAATTACTCAATTTCTCTTAAGCATTATCTGGTTGGCAATGGAACGTTGCTCTCTGAGGGGGGCAAAAGGAACCGATTTCCACCCAGGAAAAAAAATAATGTAAAAAGATATGCAATACATCATTACAATTTAACAAAACTTAAAAAAACCGTGAGCCACTTAGTATTTTCTAACTGCCACACAGCATTTTAAAATTAAATTTAAGCAAAATAACATAAACTGCAAACCCTTATTTCTCCCCTTTCCACATGCTTATAGAACATGCGAAAAATATACTAATCACAGTTAACGAATACAGTTGAACCTCTCCACAATGGCCACCCTGGTCGTGGTCATTGTGGAGAGGTGGCCATTAGGGAGCTTAAGCAACAACGTTTTTGAGTGACACACGTCAACCGGAAGTCACCCCTTTTCATTTTTTAACGTTGGTTTTGCCCAAATTTTCAGTCAAATTGTCTCTATAAGAGTAAGGAAGCTAAGGAATACAAATTTTTTATTATCAAGGCATATTAAGAAGGAAAAGGCCTTACTGCTGGTTGACGTCCGTTGCTTGAACATGCCTGTTCTTAAGCTCCCTATTGTGAGGGGGGAGGGGGGGGGGTAGGGGTGTTATATGACAAATGTTTTAGGGAGTGCAACATGTTTATTGTGCTAAGTTCATGCTTACTGTATCCCATAATGGTAATCCAATCATAAATAATATATATAGTGTGAGATAAAATACACAAAAGGCTTGAATTATGTTTTGAATCAAAATGTTGACATGACAAAATGAGCAAGTTTTGCAACATTCACTATCCGTATTGTAGACACTTTATGCCTACTGCGGCAGTATAAATGAAACAAAATCAAAATGTACAATTGCCACGATTAATCCTCAACATGCCACGCAGATCAAATTTCATGACCATTGTTGACTTTTTCATTAGTGGCTTAAAAAACTGGCTGTTGACGAGAGGTTATTTTGGCAGTTGAGGACACGCTTTAGTGGCTGTTGCCATTGTAGAGAGGTTTAAATAAGAGTCAATGTATGGACTATCCCTCAGCCAGGACAAAACAAAGTGGCCATTGTAGAGAGGTGGTCGTTGTACTGTAGGTGGCCATCAGTAGAGGTTTGACTGTATATGAAATAGAATCAGTAAATATGAACAGTTATTTACCTAAGATCACCATCCTTAGAGGATAAAAAAATCCATGTTTCATCAGGTCTCTTTTCCTCCGTAGCTACAATCTCTTCTAGAGCTTTTCCAACAAGCCCTGTGCCACCAGTTACTAGAATTCTTTTGTGGTCAGCCATTCTAAAATGAAGTTAAATACACACTGTAGGAAGTAAATTATACATAAAATCAAAAAAATAAGTATATATTACATCTTGTTAATAATTTATAATCATTATCACTCTCTTTCCAAACAATATTTTGTCCTGCAGCTGTACAGGTGCATAGTTAGTATGAAGAATAGGAAATAATAGTATTTTAAAATGAAGTTAAATACCGTATTTCTTCACCTATAAGCCGAGCGATTTTTTCAGTTTTCGACCCAAAATTTTGGGAGATTTTTCACGGAGAACGGGGTTCGGCTTATAGCCGAGGGTTTTACATTTTAAAAATATACAGTTGCTGAATAACTTTACCCCCCCGGCTTACCGCTTCAGCTTCCGCGATAACTTTTATCTTGAAAGCCATACTATACGAGGAACGGCGTGCTTTAGGCATGATGATAAAAAGTGACAGCGACGAAAGGGATACTCGATAGATTGATACTTTGAAACGTTTAACTGAGATTATTATTGTTGTTGTGGTTAATCTGTTGTCGCGTGGTAGTATTTATACAGTTCGTTGGATCAATTGATATTCATATCTCTTGATTGGTTCGCTTTTTTTCTTTTGTGTTTATTGTAATTCATTAGGTTTTGTGTTTAGTGAGTCAATTTCTTATGTTTTCCGTGAGGTTCGCTTGCTCAAATGGCCAGTTACAATCAATAATTTCGCTCTCGGCTTATAGCCGATGGTTTTACCTTTTTTTGGGGGCAGCTTGAGTCTAGCGTAAAGACCCTGAAAGTCAGGGTCTCGGCTTATAGCCGAGATCGGCTTATAGGTGAAGAAATACGGTACACACTGTAGGAAATAAATAATACATAAAATCAAAAAATAAATATTTATTACATCTTGTTGATAATTTATAATCATTATCACTGTCTTTAGATTGACAGTTTTCAAAACAATATTTTGTCCTGCAGCTGTACAGGTGCATAGTTAGTTAACTGTCAAGTTAAGGTGTGAGTGAATTTCAGTGTCAAATAAGGTACTTTAATGTATTATATCCAGTAGTTTGGAGAATGAAAAAACGAAATTTGAACCGGCTTAAATTCAACCAGAAAAAAAAGTAATTTAGGGGCCGACGATTTGACTTCTGAGGGAGTAAATCATTTCAGAAAAAAAATATCCTGCAGACTGATTTCAAGGAAATACCTGCCATGTAATGTCTTTGCGTGTCAGGGGAAAAAATCTATCACCAGAGGTTTGGGAAAAAAATTCTTACATGTACCCAAACCAAATCACCCATACCCCACTTCAAAAGTCAAATGATTGGCCCCTAAAAAAGCCAAAGGTTTAAAATAAACACATCAAGTACATTACTTAAAGATGGTTCAAGAAAAAATGCTATGAATGAATAAATGTGGACTGATTTTTGGCACAGTTGTTTCCTCAGCTTCAGTACATGTCAATTTTCAGGAAGATATTTAAAAATATTTTTTAACTAATAAAGATTTTTGTTCACAGCTTTTGATAACTACTTTACAAAACTCATGGATATCAAACTCGTAAAGGTGTTGTTTAGGAAGTTATAACGATGCAACAATGCTGTTATTTGAACCCATAACCAGTAACATCTGTGGTCTACCGCACTACAGTAATAAGCATTTGTGCTTGTACCACATTGTTACTGCAGCTATCATGCAAAAATGGAAGGCTGATATGGGGTTGCTGAAAAAGGTTATTTGGAAACCTGTGTAAACTGGCTGATGGCATAAATTCAAAATTCAAGCTGGATGCACTGCTCTTATGTAAAGTCACCATGGCCACAACTAACTTGCCTAATAAAAACTGTCAATCTTCCAGTGTATGGCTCAAACCCTCCGTCAAACTACTATCAGTTTTTTAATCAAAATAAAAAAATCAAAATTCTACAAACTGGGGTAGCAATAATAATACAGTGACAGGTATAGAACAAACAAGATACACAAGGTTTTATACACAAACCAAAACAAAAAATACATTTCACTTAACAGAACCATGAAATACGTTAGTCATCAATGTTTGCATATGGCTGATATACAGTTAAAGCATTTTAATATTCTGATCTAATTTGAGCTCTGTAATGCATAAGGGAAAGATTTAACAACAGCTTGAAAATTTCAAAATTTATAGCTTTTGAGACATACGGTAGGAAATTTACAGGTTACCTAATTTTAATACCATCTTTCAGTTCCTGCTAACATCATTTTCCCAAAGTGAACTGTTTTTGTGTTTATGGAAAGTTGATCATGTGTCAACCTATTGCAAAAAGCGTATTACAATGTACCCAGTATTCCACTTTTGATACCTTCAACATTCTTCTAATTGTTGACGTTAATATCTGATAGATCACACAGTCACAAATTCTATAGCTCACTAGATTATCATTGTACACTGAAAAACTGTTGACAAATAATTTGTAAAAATGTGTATTATAAGCCCAGGGAATTTGATAAAATAATATTACCCTAATAAATAATTTACCCGGGGCTTATTTTCGGAATTTTGTAGTAGATCTATAATTTATTCCCTTAACATGTGAGGAAGCGTTCACACCGCCTGCAGGGCAAATGCCAGAAACATTTGCTGAACTTTAAGGCGAAAATAATAAATTAAAAATTCCCACAAGATAACTGCAAATTAAATATACATTTTGTAACTTATAATAAAGCGGGACAGGGGACTGCAGCAGAAGAGAAACCTAAAAGGAAAATGTCAAGCGTAACGTGACGGAACTCAACTTACTACAACAATCGCCAAAGAAGAGAAGCATTGCAGCGTCATGGTTCCAAAATCATTATCCGTCTCTAGTTATGCAACGCCTGAGAACTGGCCAAATTTTTACCAGCTCTCCTACCAAGCAACAGGAAAACAGAGCCTGGCCTGGTCTCAGATCAAAGAGAAGGTGGTAGTGGTTCGGTTCCAGATAGAGGCTTATAAAATTTCGACAAAGCATGTTACCGGCAAAGACATTATGCAAAGTTAGATCTCTATGCACGAGTTCTCTGGTGGGATATTATGGGAACGCAGAGAATAAGCCGAGGAATCATACAATAAAAACACTTACCGGACTTCAATAAAAAGTTCTTCCTGCTAAATTGTGGTCTACTAACTGTGATGCAGGCCCGACTCTCTCTACTGCTGAATCCGAGCATAAAGACCCACGCAAAACGTGGACGACTTAGTAACCACGCTTTTATTCCAACGCTTGCGGTTCCTTTTCTTTCCACGATTCAAGCTCCTGTTCTTGTTCGTTCTTGATAATTTACCAACAAACCTTTTATAAAAAGCTGCTAAGGTATCTAACAGAATCTAGTTTTTTTAAACCAATGTAACTTAAATATAATATCATTTCAATACCTCTAATATTTCGTTAAATTTTGAATCGTTATTAAAAAAGGTCATGTCAGTAGAACTTTCAGAAATTATCATTACAATGAAGGTGGGCAAATAAAACCACTCAAAGTGTGTCAGAGCATAAAAAATTCAGTGGAAAAAACATCTAGGAGATAACATGAATATATAAGGATGTGTTTTATTTATATGAAAAGCACCATTGCTCGCTATTAGCTCAGGTCTGCGACCTTCAGTCACAGACAGCCCAGACATGTGTGTGTCAACGACATGGCTGACATGGACAAAATCGGGTTGATCTTTTAATATAGCTAGACTAATGATAAAATAGTTGACAATAATATATTCGAACGAAGAGGAATTAGAAATATGTAATAATTCAAATAAATATGTCTTTACTATTGTCTCTTTGCGTATTGACTTGTCCTGGTTTATTTTCCTCAAGACATTTCTCAGTCTTTTTCTTTACTGTTTCTATCGAATCTGCAGGGGTACCCAACGAGGATATAGTTCAAAACCACTTAACATAGCATTGTTAAACGTATTTTAGTATTTAAACGGTAGATATAGGCATATTTTTATCCCCTAAAAACTTTCCATCCGTGTTCGGATTTCCTAGCTGAAAGTCTAGTGATCCGAAAATTATAGGGATCAAAACTTACCTTTTCGAAAATTTCAGCCAGGAAAAGGCTCCCAAAAATTCTAGGTGGCCTTTTTTAGGGTAAAAGTCCGTTAAAAATGGGTAATTATACCATTTTGTATATGTTCGAAATCCTAGGAGAGGCAGGCAAGCAAGAAATTTTACAACAAATGTTCCGAAAATTCTAGATGTCAAATCGTCTTCCGAACAGATATTTTCCGAAGATTGCCGTTGGGTGCCCCTGAATCTGTGACAGTCCTCACGAGCCGCCACATTTAAAAATCCTGTTATCGAACCAAAATAGCATGGAAGTCTAAATACAACAAAATAATGGTAAAATACCTTTAACTGAACGTCTCCTTGTCGGTCCTGGCCTATTTAAGTGGATAGTGCCTACGATGAGTGCAAACCTCAACAACCGACAAGGAGACCGGTTCAGTTGAAGGTATCAGAGCTTTGTTTATAAAAGTCAATTTAAAGCTTTTTTTTTTCGTTCTTCACAATAATTTCTAACATTGGACAAGAAAAATAGCTTGAAACCTAGCCTTAAAGAGTTGCTCGCAAATATGGGAGAAAATTTAAGGATACTAATTGATTATTCATACGACAACAATTTTCTCTATAATTGAGCAAAAAGCTTACATTCAGGATTTTCTGGAGTTTATTCACGTGCTGACTGCGTTTCAGGCCTCTTTTGCAGGTTTAAATGCCTTTTTAGGCCTGCGAAACGTGTCACGGTGAATTAGGTTAAGTGTTCAAGAGAGGACAATCCCCTCATGACATCGCACATTTACATTGTTTTTCTAAACCTATATTTTGCTCAAAAGTTGCCCAGAAATGCTCGAGGTAGCCGGAACCGCAAAAAGTTGCTCAAAATTTGCCGAGCACAATAGGGACAGGCCTGGCTTCATCGTACTACTTTTGTTTTTTGGCCATCTTATCTTAAGAAGGAACAAAAAGCAAACTGCGGTGATAACCTGAACATAAGGAAATATAAACGCATTTCTGGAAAGGACGTTTCGTATGTTCCAACATACATCTTAAGACATTTAGGCCCATTTAGTTTATTGGTTTATTTAGTTTATGTTGGAACATACCGGTAACGTCAATTTAAAGTCCTTTTTTTTCCCAGAAATGCGTTTATACCTCCTAATCGGTCATCACTTTTTGGCCTAGCTTCAGTCACCCTGGATATGGCTGGCCACAATCTACACGGTCAAACTCAAGTTCAAAGTGTAAATAACGTATTGGCTAGTATTTAACCTGAGATCAGGCCTAATTTTGGCGTTTCTCATACATTCTCTCTGTTTCGCCTTGCCCACTGGAATGTCATTTTCAAAGCGAAACGAAAATAGAGCCTGATCTCAGGCTAGCTAGTGTTGTTTTCTCCTGTCTTGTGAACGCGGACAGGTTCGATTCACCACCCACGCAAACACGCGCAATTTGCAGAAAAGCATCATGGGCTTTCAACTTTCTCAAAATGGCCGCTCAATCAGGTAAGATCCTCTTCCTCTTAGTAGCGTCATATTAATTTATAAGACTGTTACTGAAATGAACTGTATAACGACATTGAGATAAACTCCTGTTTTGTGACCAAAATTTCTTAACGATTGTAGAGCATTTTCGTTGAACTGTAGCGACTAAAAAGTAAACAGAAACTTTCAAAATAAGAAAGCCCGAAAATAAGGCTGATTATAGTAAACAAAGACCCTGGCCTTGACAAAATCTTTGAGATTACATATTTTTTTTTGTTCGTTCTCTGAATTATTTTACCTGATATTTGAAACATTGGTTTGTAATGCTTGCTAATAGCCAGGAAAAGGAATTGACACGCTCGGAGCCGAAATCATGATGAGTTTGCTAAAATTAGAAATAGTTTATTTTGTGATAACATTTTAATTCGTGTATTCTGTCTCATTTTGTCTCAAATCAAGCAATCTTTGTATCATCTGTCACAGTTTTACATGTATGTCTTATGTCTCTGTTTCAGAGCTTGTTACTTGTTGAAATTTTACCTTAACAGGGCCTTGTTGAAATGTGCAATATTATTAATACCTCCTAATTAATTGTATTTTTTTATTTTTTAATATCAATGCAAATGTTACTGGTCAAAATTAAAATCAGTTGAAAATTTTTTAACCTAGGTTGTTTCTCAATTCCTTGTGTCTCCTATCCCTAAAAAGCTTTTAAAAATTATTCATGAATTATTGCAAGGAGACAAAGAAAATTGAGTATCCACATAGGTTAAAAAAGTTTAACCTGAATTTAATTTTGACCTGTACAAGTAACTTTAATATGCACTTGTAAACTTTTTTGAGTCAAAGGTGTGGGTTTGTTATCATCAGCACCATAATTTTTGTACAGGACCTGAGCATATCCAAGACGTCCAAAAACTTCCAAAGACATTCTAAAATCAGAGATTTCTGGAAAATTATGTGGACTTTTCTTTTCTCATTATGGTTTTGAAAAAATGTGTAAGTTAAGGCTATTGACCAGCTCAAACATCTCCATCAAGAGGTATGAGAAAATGGTCTTCAGGCATAAGCTGCCATGAGATCAAAGTGTTTGATTTCCAGGGGTGAGAGGTGACTTGTAAGGTACAGTAGTTGGTAAATATACAAATAGACTTGTGATATGAACACCACAGTGGTGGATCCAGGGAAGGGGCCTGGGGAGCCCGCTCCCCCCTTATTTTTGGACCAAACTGAGGCCTGAAGGGCTGAAAAAAAATTGTTTTTTTCAGGGTCACCCCCCCCTTTATCTGAAGGTCTGGATCTGCCATTGTGCCATTGCACCAAACACTCCATCCAGGCTAATTAATTATTTCCTGTAGTGTGAGATAGATTTGTCATGTTGCTGGGTCTATTTTTCATCCCTAGCTCAAACAACTTCTCGGGGAAATGTAATGACTGGGGATTTGCCCGATGACTTTTTGCGCATATCGCCAGCAGTTAATCAAGGGCAGACAATGCCAGTTCAGCCTATGCCATATTATCAGCCAACTGTATTCATGCAGCCATATCAACAACAACCATTAGGAAGATTAAGTATCACACTACAACAGGTTCGTAAGTTGTTAAATATTATTAAATCTACTAAATCAGTAAAATCTTATTATCCAGGGACTGTGGAGCTATGGGACTGGGTGGGCTAAAGCCCTTCCAATAATTTTGCCACGAATATTTTTTGGATGAATTTCCAAAGGTAATTCCAATCTTTGTGTTAAGAGCAAACACAATTTTCATTGTTAAATGTACGTTTTTATGCAAAACACTAACAGAATGGTGGCAACAATTTGACAAAATTTGCTCAGGGTTAACAGAAATAAACACCTTTCTGGTGATTCAGAAGCTCTAAGTTTCAAATTGGCTAGTCTAGAATTTCATGCTTTTTTAATACTGTATTGCAGCCGACGCATTTTAAAATCCATGATAAGATTCTGATACAAATGCTTCTGAGAAAATTTCTTCTTGCACCCTGCCATTAATTGAAGGAGTTTCAAGCTATGTCACTCACTGATGAGAACATGGTTCTTAGTTATAATTAGTAAAGTTGACTTTTGCAGGCCAAACTTGCCAAGAATTATGGCATTACACGTATGGATCCCTACTGTCGAATCACAGTTGGAAGCCATGTATTTGAAAGTCCAACGGCCCACAATGGCTCAACAAGTCCCCGATGGAACAAGTTAATGTCTATGTATGTATCATTGCAGATAGTGTTCCAGATCTCACCGTGAAGCTGTCTTTCTTGCTTGACTGTTAATGGTCTTTTGTTTTCCTCCATTAATGTGATATTTATGTCAGTTATGTGTGTGTCAGTGGCAAGCTGGAGCTGCACTTTTTAAGTTGTTTTTATTTCCAAACAGTTCCTTGGTTTATCCATTAGAAAAATAACTAAAAATTGTTGGAAGAATTGTTACACTGTACTACCATTCTAAAAAAAGCTCATATTAGAGGACTTGCATAACTGAGATTTAATGTTATTTTTAAAAAGAGAGAATATATCTGAAAAACAAACTGCTGCACACACACTCGCAAAAAATGAACTCCTTAGTAGGTTTATTGTATATTCTTTTGGTTTTGTTGGTAAATAAGACTAGTTTTGCTATTCTCTTTTGCAGACCCATCCAAGAAGGTGTTACTAACATATATGTCGAGGTCTTTGATGAGGTATTTTAGTTTTCTGTCATCAATATAGACCTGCCCAGTTTTAACAACTCCTTACAGAAGCTGATTTTTTGAAGTTGTTAATATATTTTAGTCCAAGCGAGTTGTCCAATATTATGTCAGCCGAGGATCTCAATCCACACGAATACCAGTGCACAATTTACTTCTCAGACTCATTTTACCAAATGTCATTTCTTAAATGGCTACCTTTGTTTAAGGCCGCTGGAAAAGAATTAATTTTGTGGCCCTCTTTAGACAGAATAAATTATAATGGAATCTTAATACAGCCAGTACAGTTGAACCTCCACTAATGCAACCCTGTTAGGGTAACATTCCAACAAGCAGCATGGCTTTGAAACAGAGGTGTAAGACAGCTGAAATGTTGTCACACAACACAAAGATGGGTTGAAATTGTGACAGCAATGAAGAAAAGTTCAAAAACCGTAGTAAAATACATTGTTCATACCGTCTTGGAAACCCTTGAAAACCCGGGAATTTTAACAGTCCTTTTTCAAGGCCTTGAAAGTCCTTGAAATTCTCTTTTGCTCATTTTGGTCCTTGAAAGTCCTTGAATTTTAATCGAAGTACATTTGATAAGAAGCATCATCACTATCATTATCTTGTTCATTATGGAAGGTAATTATTTGATAAGCACTCCCAAACGAATTTTCATAAAAAACGGTTGCCATTAAGAAAAAAGGCCCATTATTATCAGATTATTTTCATAGTTTATTTAGAACCTGTGTTAAAAGTAATAAATAAGGCCCTTGAAATTTAAAAATGTGGTCCTTATAAGTCCTTTTAAACTCATCGCCAATAGATGAGCTTAGGAACTGGTGCCTTAAAGGTTGGAGGGGAGCCTGAACGCCTCAGGCATAGCAAGGAGGTATCCATGGCAACCCTGCGAGCGGGAACCACCCCTGCAAGCCGCCGCCAACTGACACCATCACACTGAACGAATTCGGTGGAAAATACTCACCTGACCTAATACTTACCATTGCACAGAAGGGGAGGGACGGGCTGGGAGCCAGAATCTGCAACAATTCGCTAATCAACAGATCTGCAAAGATCAGCTCAAAAATGCCAGCGTGAGATGCAACGTGAGTCACAAGTAAGCAAAAGGCCCCTGCGGACACCCCTCAGATCATGTACGCTTGAGGAGGAGACCGCTGACCACATTGGCGTGCAATTTAACTTTGCCTAAATTACATTTAGCCACATGAAAAGTCCTTGAATTTTATGGCAGAAAAAGTGTATGAACCCTGAAAATACCAACAGGGATGTGGCTTCACAGCCTCCTCAATTATGTGAATCATTGGGTTTTGGAATTCAGATTAGCAGAGACATATTTACCTTGCCCCCCTTGGAGGGCACCAGTAATGGACACTTCTCTTTTATTGGATCCAATCATGGTCCCAGCCACCAACAAACACTACACTTTTAACCTTCCTTATGAGGACATGGGGTGTCTGCTAAGAGAGGTTTGAATCACGTATTTTATCGATTTTCATTTCAGCGAGCATTCTCCATGGATGAGCGTATTGCGTGGGGTCTTATTCCTATCAAAGAAGAAGTGTTTTCAGGAGAAACACTTGAAGACTGGTACCCGTTAAGTGGCAAACAGGGAGATGACAAGGAAGGAATGATCAACTTAGTTTTTGCTTACAGGGTAAATATTTCTTTGTAGTAAGTCCATAATCCTCACAACTTTATTAAGGTTCTTAAACAGTTGAAACATTTCTCAGGAAACACTTTGCAATTTATTAAGTGAAACTAAGGCAAGGTTAAAATCCATCCAAAGGGTTAGTGGGCTGGTAGCGCACTAATAGGTACCTTTGCATTGCCATTTTGCTTGAGGGTTGGTTGGTAGGGATCTTTAAGGGTGTTTGATTACGCAAAAGCCAGAAGGAAAACCTGGAAGTAGTAAATACCAGTTTTCTTGATTTTCAGTAAAAGAGAACTTTTGAGCCAAAAATTGTTCAAGAAAGTTTTGGCCTAAGTGTAGGGCCATAGCTAGTAGGTGGCAAGAGAAGACACCCACTTAGAACTGCAATTTGTTAAAAATGATTCTCAGAAATTATTTACAATAGCATGTCACAAATGCAAAGGACTGATTAGTAGTTTTATACATAATATTATGATGTATGTTGCCTGCTCCAGTAAATCCATTGCTGCTTGACGTGATTAATACTCAGGCTTGATATATGCTCAGGCTTTACAGCTCTCTCAAGTGAGTGACTTCTTCTTTCCCTGTGTAGAAAGTACCTGCACCACCTCCACAAGCAATGATCTACCCTAACATGCCTGTCATGATGGTACCTCAGCCAGTGGTTCCAGGAACACAAGTGGTTTATCCAGGGGGGTATGGTCCTGGGCAGCCAGTACCTACTGGTCAGCCACCACAACAACCCCAACAAAGGCCCATTAATGAACAGGATATAGCAGGCTTGAAGGACATGTTTCCCAATATGGAAGAGGGGGTCATCCGATCTGTTCTTGAAGCAAGTGGTGGAAGTGTTGATGCAGCAACAACGCACTTACTCAGCATGACAGACTCTTGAGTTAATTAAGGCATAAAGAGATAAGCATGTTCCTTTATGAAAATTGACTTTGCGTTCTTGAAGAGTTAAGTGGAAGGAACTGCTCCTAATGAATAGTTTTAGAAGCCACATGATCATTATTTTAATGCTGAACAATAGAAGCATTATTTTAAGTCATTTCAATCCACAAAATGACATTTCACCGTTTACAGGTGATGAAAATATTCATTTTGGTTACTTACTCATATTATTGATAGAATCATAAATGAGAATGATGTAAATTATCAAACACAAGAAGAGTTGTTCTGCCCGATATCCAGACTGTAGTGGGTTAGTTTCCTAGCTAATCTTTGCAAACCACTGCTTCAGGGCCTTATGAAATTTTGCCTAAATGTTTGGCAGTGGTGACCACAGGGGTGACCATATCTGGGAAATTAGCTGCCAGATTGATGACTAGAATTCTTCATCACACGTACTTAAAAACGTTGAGAATTGTGAAGCCAGAAGGTGAGTTAGAAATTAAATAAAAAACTGAAGCAAAATTGGGTATTGAAACATCTTCACTTGCTACCATCTTGGATGTCAAGTGGTTCAACCCCCATTTAGACTACAAGTAGTCCCCCATTTGTTCTCAGGGATAATAGAGTGAGCGAAATGCAAGTGCACGTGAAAATCACCCCATGCGAGAAAAGGCGACACCCGCTGCGTATTGCCTTTTCTCGCATGGGGTGATTTTCACGCGTGCTCACGTTTTGCTCGCTCTACTATCCCTGAGGAAAAATGGGGGACTACTCGTAGTATAACCCCCATTATGTAATGTAATCTGTGGCAGACTGGATGTTTCTAATGTACACTATGCAGCTAACATCATTTCCAATTTGCAGTTTAAGAACCTGGGCCGGCTTGTTCAAAACAGGATCAAGATAACCTAGGGTTAGTGCAAAGTTTAAATTCAGATATGAAGGCTTAAAAAGCAAGTTCAGTTTAATTCTTTTTGTCTACAATGCAATGATTTCATGCCCTAAAACGAAAAGAAAAAATAATCTGAGAAAATGCTTTTGAATGGAAGAATAAGAAAGTCAGATTTAAACTTAATCCCGGGATGCTGCTAATTGACCTTTGAACAACTTACTGGGCCCTGGTTATAGTCGACTCTCTGTTAATAAACACCTCACTAAAAAAGATGCATAGAGTTAGTCCTGCCTATCTTCACTCCTCTTAGTTGACTCTCAACAAGACAGACATCTTTCTAAGGTGGACTCATAGTGCGGGTCCCAAAGGTGTCCATCTTAAGCCTGGTTCTCATATGCAGTCAAGCTACCTGCGACATAGCTGCTGGCACTGCCTGTGACACGATTCCGCTATGAGTCAACAGCAACTGAAGCTATGTCAGTCTTTACCGCCAGCGTGCTTGCCCAAGGCTGTGCTCTAAGGAAAATTGAAGGGAGCCCGGTGCTTTGAAACTTGGAAATCTAGGGTGCCCATCATATGATTTGTATGAAAAATCTGAGATTTTCTAGTCGCCAGGGGGCAAAAGTTAGGCGCCAGGGGCCACCGGGCTCTGTTAGAGCACAGCCCTGTTGCCAAGTTGGCTCAAGTTCGACTTTGCAGGCATGCCGGCAGTAAAGATCTGTGATGTTTCTCGTTGCCGGTAGTATTGAAGGCAGTACCAGTGGCTATGTTGCAGGTACTTTGGTAGCATATGAGAACTAGGCTTTAGAGAGAGTTGACTGTACTGACTTTTTCAAATGGCCACCACTTTGAAATTTTAAGATCCATTAGTGGTTCCTGGAGAAAAAAAGGTTCATTTTGCATCCTGCACTAATGTTTCTGGATATTGGATGAAATGTACCTTCAGTTGTTTGATATAACTTCTCAAATGATTGTTAATTCTTGAAGAAATTCAAAGTTAAAGTTTGAAAAATGTTAAGGTAATTTTATTATGAATTTTTTTAAAATAAAAATCTGATATTCAAACCTCCTTTATGGTGGAGATTTTCTTTGTTTTATCTTAATTAGTTATTAATGAGTCTGGGAAATATTTTAGCATCACTTTTATACAAAGCATAGAGCATCTTCATGTGACATCAACTCTTCCATGTTGGTGTAACAAGAAAATGAAGTGAAGGCCATGTTGGTGTGCCAAGGCAATCCTAGCTGCCTGTAGCCTGCATAGCTGGCGGGATTGTTTGTGCGAGCAAAGTTTGGGCAGAGGAACTGTGAAACCATGTGGGGAATCAAGAATGGCGGCTTTTCTGCCAAAATTCTCACACGCGCAAAGACAATTCCACCTGCTAGGCAAGCTAAGCTGCCTGTGGAGAACTCCTTTCTCATGTAAACACCTTCTTATGTTCAAAGAAACTTAAGAAGCTGTTGGTCACATGGTTAAAAATTCTCTGTAAGGTGATTTTTAGCCTGAGTTTCACCTGACTCTTGGAATCCCAGACTCCTGAGACAGACGGAGCTTGTGACTTGAGGAGACAGCAGAAATTCAGGCTAGGTTATTTTAGGATTTCCAGTCTGCCATATAAATAGATAGAAACCAGCCCCAGCAAAGTCTTTATAATGGTAAAAAGAATAAGCGATTATGTAACTATCTGTAAGTCATATCTAGAGGCTTGCAATAGTTCAATAGATTTTTTAATAAAATTTTCTCAAAGTAGTCAGTTTGTTGTTTTGATTTTTCGAAGGAAGGTAAATTATTTTAAATTTTTAAAATAATCTTTTATTGGACTGTCATGCATTTGCCACTCTCTACTTCAATTTTTTAAAATATAAATAGAGGCAATGTATGAAAGGTCGTGCATGAATGTAAAAGTTGAGCGAGGTTCAACTTTCTGAAACGTTTACGTGCTACCTTACACACATTGCCTCCTTTCCCAGTGGGTGGGGGGGGGGGAGGGTACTGTACTCCAGATTTCAAGTGACGGGGATGATCGAATGGGGCCTCTTTTTCACGCAAAATTTACGTGGCAGTTAAGGCCATTGCTTGCGTGGTAGAAGTTTATAAAAGACCTGCTGCGCTGAATTTATTTTTAGTACTTTGCTAATTTCACTTACTGCCTAATCATGCCTAATAATCACGTTAACGCACGCGGTAGCCTCACTCACGAGCACGCCCTAAAAACAGTGCTCTCGTTGAGTACCCGCTTGTTTGCCCGTTATGTACTTTAAATGTAAATGTACTTCTGAATTTTTAAAAAAATTCATGTGAATTAGTCCATTTTGAGTTTAAGTGCACGTGTGTGTGCATTGATGGTGTAGCAATCAGCATGCGAGGGTCATAAGGTGGAAATGACGTGTGAAAAATTGCACACGTTACACGTTGATCTATTTATGTCATGTTAAGTCACGCAGTATTAAGAAGTAGCCAAGCCTTCTTTCCAGCAAAGTCAGTATATATACAATCCTTTTTCTCCATTTTCTGCTGGAAGGGTTGCATAACGCTTCTATTGAGCGTCTCTGTACACAACTGTCTTTAGGTATTGGTGAGCTAACCAAAAATTCAGCAAGATGACGTTTTATAGAAATCTAGTCTGGTTCGGCAAAGGATTCCGTGAGTACACGAAAAATGGCTATCTCGCTGCTGAGAAGTCCTTCGATCCCAAAGCTCTCGATGTTGACATTTCTTCTCGGTCGTTTATGATCACTGGAGCTAACAGTGGAATTGGAAAAGATGCAGCTGTCTTTTTAGCGAAGAAAGGAGCTACAGTTCACATGGTCTGTAGAAGTGAAACAAGAGGCGAAGAGGCGAGAAAAGAAATCACTGAAGTCTCTGGAAATGACAGGGTGAAACTTCACCTTTTGGACATGTCCCACCCAAGAAAGGTTTGGGAGTTTGTAGAAAAGTTTTCATCGTCTAGTGAGCCTATCCATGTGTTAATAAACAACGCTGGATGCATGGTGAACACTAGAGAAGTTGACGAGGATGGTTTGGAAAAGAACTTCGCCACTAATGCTTTGGGCACGTACATTCTAACCAGTGGACTGATTCCAATTCTTTTGAAGCAGGAATCACCGAGAGTTGTTACAGTCTCTTCAGGTTTGTAAAAGTATGTCAAAATGTTGCTCCTAACCTGGTAAAAGATGGTCAAAGTTATTTCCATTTTCAAGTTTCATTAAGCTATCGCCATATGCATTCATTGCATTACAGATTACGTAATCATAGGTAAGAAATCTTGCGACTTGTCATGGGAAAGTAATTAAATTACGTTTTCGCATGTAAAAAATATCTCTCATACTGTATCCTCCCTCAAGTAACAAATTTCTTTGAACAGGTTAACCGAAATCTGAAACAAAGCGCCACATGGGGGAAATGCCTTCCCTCCCCTCCCCCCGCTCTCCAATCCTTGCAGTTCACAAGCTAGTACAAGCTACGATTTGAATGTCATTTATATTTAAAAACGTTGAGGCCATTTGTCAGTAATTGCCTCATTTTGAACCCCCATTGATAAAGTGCACCTCTACTTCCCTCCACCCCAAACCCAACTGCTAATATATGAAATAACAGTAGTACTCTGTCAGAGTGCTGCCAAAGTGAGTTAATTCACATTTTCTTCACCTTTAACCACCTTGTAAACAAGGGGGGGGGACTTCAGGGATGTTTGGATGGGGATAAACTGCTGTGACGGCACCCCAGAACCCTTGGCCTGCAGTAATACTAGACCTGGTGGAGGTAAACTTTGCAACCCCATACTAGACTTACTAGAATGAACTCCCAAAATCCATTGAGTCACTACTTTCTGGAAACAACTAAGCTAAAAGGTCAAGTACGCTCTCCATACTGAATTTCAGGCAAATTAAAATTTCTGAAAGTTGGACAAATAAAGGATATATTTCTGGAGAAGGTGAAGAGCTACCATAAATTTTTCACGAAATTAACATGGCTCAGGGCTGCCTCCCTCATGAAATTTTATGCCCGATGGGGCTTAGCTAGGCCTGAGCTGATCAACGAGGGAATGTCAGACCAGTAAAATAAACCCTGTGGGGAAGTATGTGTTATTTCTAAAAGAAGTGGAGTCACTTAAGGCATTACCCTTGTTTTTCTTTCATTACAGGGGGTATGCTTGTGCAGAAACTTGATGTCAAAGACCTTCAGTTTGAAAAAATGAGCCCATTTGATGGAACCATGGCATATGCACAAAACAAACGGCAGCAAGTTGTCATGACTGAAAAGTGGGCAGAAAAGTACAAGGAAATCTTCTTTTCTTCCATGCATCCAGGTAACATTGTTCAACTAATAATGAAGCTATCTCTCAGACACCTTGCTATGTTACAGGCACCCTAATATGATTTGAATGGTGGCTATATCCCCAGCAAAAGTAACAGACATTTTGCCTGAAACGGACTCCCATTATTATGGACTCTGGATCAAATCTAGCCTGTTCCAGGCTCCAAGATAGTCGGGTCCACGAAATTGAGAAAGCAAAAACTGCCACAGCCCTCTTACCCAGATCACGCGCTGATATTTCCATGTGCGTTTCACTCATATGTCATCCGTACTATCTGAGAGCCTGGAACAGGCTAGATCAAATCATGTAATGCTAACTGCTTTTTTGGTTCTTCACCTTCAACAAAAAGTTTACTTCAGTGTCTCACATACTCACGAACATTATTTTGTTGGTGTGTTTGTCTGCCAGTGAAGGGGCATCATTGATGATTCCAGATCCAAAGAGCTTTAATGAGTTCTGTTACAGAAAATGAAGATAGAACTCAAGAGGAGTATGGTTACAGTTTCTCTTTCCCATATTATGTAACCATTGAAAAGGTTTCCCCCTGTCTTGAAGAACAGTGCAAGCCAGTAAGTTGATCAAGATCACTTTAAAGAGTGATAACTCTTTTAAATAATTAATTATTATTAATTTGTAGGTTGGGCTGATACTCCAGCAGTGAGGTCATCAATGCCAGGTTTCCATCAAAAAATGAAGGATCGTCTTCGAACTTCAGAACAGGGAGCGGATACAATCGTATGGTTGGCTGTTGCTGATATATCTAAGCAGACCAGTGGTTCATTTTACCAAGACAGGAAAGCAGTTGCAACACATTTACCACTTGCATGGAGCAAAGCTTCTGATATTGACAAAGACAAACTGATGTCTGAACTTGAAGAAATGGCATCAAAGTTCAAATAAACATTAAACACATTCATTTGTAATTAATAGCATTTAAATGGCACGTGTATCTAAGCATTTTGCTTGAGTATGTATTAAACAGCAGATAAAAAAGGATAGGCTGACTGTTCTAGGTACTGTACTTAATATGGTTAATTTAATCCAGCATAGTGTAACAGTTATATTATTATTATATAGCTTAGGAAGACCAAAATAGGTTTCATGGTAGGAGCTATAGGAAATGTCATTAATAGTTTAATAGATATTGGATGTAACTTATTAATAGTATTGTGTTATTTTTATTACATCTCACATTGCCAAACAAGTAAATAACAAGTGAAATGCTTCTGAAATCATCTGCCAATTTTTTCATCACTTTAAACCGCTTTACACTTTATCAAAATCATACGAATAACCTTAACCTTGACATCAATAATATTATCCCAGGCCCGGTTCCTTGAAAGATGGTTATTCAGTGTACCCAGGATTAAGCCAAATGTTAAGCAAGGTTTTCTTGTCTAAGTACATGTCACTCAAGCTTACAAAATACCCATTCAGAGATGATAACATAGAATTTTACTCAAAGAAATGAATAGGAAGCTAAATACAACAATGGAACAAAATTTTTAATCCAGGATTAACGTTAATCGGCCTCTCAGGAACCAGGGCTGGTGTTTCACATCCAAAGCACGCAGCCATTTTATCACTCTTCTCATTTGCATATCATTGATTTCTCTGATTTGATGCAGTACACACAAAACCTTAAAAGGTCATTCTCAATCACCACAGCTGGCTTAGCAAATAATGGCCATTTGTTCAGGACTGGTAAAAAATAAATATCATTAAGTAAAAAGTGATCATGGAGACTTGTATCCTCCGATGCAGACATTCTTAGGTTTTTTTTATGCATTCCTTTCCCGCAATTCATGGGGAGGAAACAGGCAGCAACACCTAAGAACATCAGTGTGCCAAGCTAGGAGAGTTTTTGTTGTTTTATTAATACCAATACTAATATTATTACTAATAGACTAGTCAGATCAGTACAAATTATGTGGTGCTATTGATAGGAGTTTACAGTAAGCACTGATAGACGGCGATTAGTAGAGAGAGTTGGAAAATCGTAGCAAGGAACAAGGGATTACACAACTTTCTAACTATATTAAATGGTAAAGAGAGGATGTAACCCTTGGTTTGGACAATGCTAGAAGACACAAAAGATATGGTGCAATAAACACTTTGGCTGTTTCATTTGAGTACTGTGATAGCATGTCCTTGAATCTTGATATTATATCAAACCCAAAAGAGGAGTTCATTTAAAAACTATCCTACATCCACCCTCCCTTTGAAGAAAGAAAGTGGCAAGAGAAGGGTATATGGCTATGTGTTGGCTATAAATATGTCACATCTGACTCTTGGTAGCGATATTCAAATATGCCCTCGCCACATTACATCCTGCTAAAAAATTTTACAACCCTGGCAAAATCATGGAAAAAAACAAATTCAACTCACAGGGAAGATGTGACTAGCATTTACTAACCCAAGATTCATTTAAGCTAGCCCGAAAAATCTTTTTCATGAGAAAAGTGGATTACAGTTATGTTCTTCTGTTAATTCACTAGCCCAATAGCAAAATCCACTAGCCCCGGGCTATTGGACCTTCCTTCCCCTAGTAAAATCCATTAGTGGTCTATTAACAATGCTGTATTCTGATTGGTTGAGCTACTACTAGGCTATATGTTATAGCCCACTAGTAGCGAAAAGCACTGGCTTTTTGGCGGCAAAAAAGGATTAAAGTCTAGCTTTAACTAGCTAAAGTTGTCTTGTCTCGATATTTTTGACCAACTAGTTGGATTTTACTAAAACAATTATTCCTCTCGCCCTTGTGGCCTCTGAGTCAATTGCCCATTCGGCCTTCGGCCTCATGGACTATTGACTCGGAACCCATTCGGGCTTGAGGAATAATTTTTTTATCGTTAAATATCCACATCACGAGACAGGGTACTGTGGGGCCTTTGTTTCAATATATGCCAGCAGTCTTTTACGCGTCAGTCATGAGTAAAAGCTGACACATCCATAGGCTCAGTCTCCAGCTGTGAATGTTTTAAAGTGCCTGCAACTCTCCTCATCTGAGATAAGGAGAATTGCTGGCAAATTGAGACACTCACAGCAGCTGACACAGAGAGACCTGGAGAACGAACAGGCAATGAAGAAACCTGCCCAAAATCTTGAGTGACTCCTAGCAATATACCACAATTCTATTTCATTTAGTTTAAAAATAACAAAATCAGTCTGACTTGGATTCTGAAAACCTGATGTCATTGCCTAAGGTTTTGTCCCTCAAGTGTTTCCCCTTCATAACATAGCAAAAATGTTCCACACAGGGATGAAAAAGGGAATCTGAAGACAGAGTACATAAATCAATAAGACCCTGCATCAACCCTGCATGGGAAACGTCGTGACTTTCAATAGTAACAAGAGCAAATTTGGTCGTCTGCCACTTTCACTATGTTTATTATAGTCATAAAAACATTACATTTTTCCAACAAAAACGTCTCAAGATGCTAATGCTAATTATTCTGATCACATTATATCATTATTTCTATAATTAGGAACATGCAACACATACTGCTATGCTACTAACTAGATATAGGCCATTTCTGATCCAAAACCCCACATTTTTTAAAAATGCAGCTCCACACTTGTTTCAAACAAAGGCTTGAAACAACTACGAAATGGCTTTGCAGTATTTTGTTTTGACTTGGAAATATTATATTTTTGGTACCTTTCATGTAATGGTTATTAGTTTTGATGGTATGAACAGAGTAATAGCTGTGTAAGATTTAATGCCACTTGGCACATATTTGGAGACAGGGGATATTAGACCACAAGTTGAAATTATTGTGATTATAATTCTCCATCAGAAAGACTTTATCAGATCGACACCACTCAACAGCAAGGTTGTTTCAAAACAAGGACTACCAAAGAAATATTTAAAAGTGTATCTATTATTATTTGTTTACGTACGATTAGACTTGAAAAATGCAAAACAATGAAAATCAACTAAAGAGAAGAATGAAAGTTGCAAACAAGGCAAGCTTTTGCATTATTTGGCAGTTTCACTCTTGCCCTGCTTAGTTGTGTCTCATAAATTTTATAACAGTTTTTTTTACTTAGTTAACAAATATGTTTCCTCCACCCTGGAGAAAAGAAACATACGGTATTTCCCTTTTTTCTTTAGTTTGATATAAAAGGAAGGAAGAGTTCTCCATATGCAGATGTCCCCACATCTTGATGGACGCTGACTAACAGCTTTGCTCTTTAAACATCAAATTAAGCACTTCTGGTAATTTAAAGTATTGGGCCTAAGTTCTCCTCAACAACTTCATCTGAACTGCAGTGGGCTCACTCTGAGACCAATAGCATCTTTACCGACCTCTGCTACCTTACAAACAGAGCAGATGGTTCCTTTGAATTCTGGACAGTATGAAGCTTGACAGAGAGGACATTTCTCCTGCGGCTTGCCCCTGAATAGACAAACAAAAGCTGGTTTTTGAGAATTCAAAGAGAAATATGTTGTTCACACCTGTCACCCCTCCACTAGAGAAAAGCCATGGTATCAAAATTTCTGGATCTTAACAAACTGAGCTCCGGCAAATATGGCAGCAAAAAAAAAAAAAAAAACGAAAAAAATTGACATTTGTGACTTTCCTGTGTATGATTGCACTCAGGAACAAAACAGTAGCCCATACTTTTCTTGCATCATTTGAAAATGCAAATGGCCTTCTCCATCAACAAAGACTGTTAAGATCCAGACATTTTGCTACCATGGTAGTGTGATATCACACCCTTCTCTCTATAGATGTTGACCAGCACCTCAACCTGTTCAGTGCTTTAATAGTCTGACATAAGTGAAGACTGAGAAGTGATAGTTCTGGATAGAGTTGGGGAACAATTTTCTGTGGTGTGACCATTCAAAAGGGTTTGCTAGAAGCTCCAGCGACCTGCGAAAATATTGACATCTAGTTGTCACTGAAGCATAGTCTTCTCACTGAAGGTAATTTTAAGTGGGAAAATGCATCTGCCGTAATTGTTTCTCAACACATTTGTTTGATAAAGACAAAGAAATACAAAATACACTGGGCAAATGAGGGTGTCATCCTCAGGACTAAAATTAATTCAATCTCTGGTTGCTCAAAATGTTATGTAATCTCTAAGAGCCGAATCCACTGATTGTGAAAGGGCTGTGCTCATCACACTGAAGTCCTCCTGCATTACATTGAGAACCCTTAATTTAAATCAACCTCTTCGTGCTGGTAGTACTTTTGTATAGTATTATAATTATTTTGCTTCTTTGCATTTCAAAAACGACATTTGCATTTTGATTCGCATTTTGATTATAAATCTCTTCAGCATGCAAAGAAAGTTGTGTCTGATAGCCTGGGACTAGCGGATTTTGCTATCGGGTTAGTGATGTTTGTTCTTTACCTGGCCAACGGGCAAGTGCTGTTTTGGGGGGAAATTCAAATTAGAAAGGATTGTTATCAATCCTGCTAATCAAAAATGGGGGTTTGGGGCTAGTTGAAATGACTTGTGGGCTAGTACATGCTAGCTACAGCTTGCCTGAATGGCAGGCTGTAAAACAGACTTTCTTTGCACCCTGCCTCTTGTTGGTTAAAGGCTAATCAACTTTTGTGCACCAAAACAAGATTAACAAAAAAGTTTCAAACACACCTGTAAAGAGGTTTGTAAGAGGATCCACAGATTGTGAATGGGTTGTGTTCATCATACTGAAGTACATGTGCATCAGTTGGATTCTTGTCACAGGCTTGGAGGATCTTGCGAATCTATAACAACAACAAATCATTTTTAATAGCTGACAAACTATGCAAGATTAATATTTTGTACAAATCTAAAAGTCTTTTAATACTGCTTTAACAATATAAATTCTCAAAAACAACAACTGCACAAGTTTAAAGGGCACTGTAATAAAGTGTTTTCAAAAGAGTACAACACCATTTATACACTTTGCAGCTTTAAAGTGATGTCACATACCCTATAATACTGTAGCTTATGGAGTGTTTTCATTCCTGGGCCAGTACGTATGCAAATTTATTTATTTATTGTGACCACAGAAAGTGTTTACAAAAGAAAATAGTTCCACTCCAATAGGATTAGTTTGGGACACCAACATGGCTGCCCTTTTATTTTTCTGGGACACCAACATGGCTGACATGACATTATGTGAAAAGGCTCCATTGCTACTTTCAAAGGCAATAATATTGCATTCCAGCTAACTCTTAACAACAAATGCAATGAACTATTTACATCTATGCATCACTTGCACATTTAAATAGTACTCAACTTACCTGGGTTGCCACATCAGGGCGTGGTCCAAGTTCCAACAGCCGGCGTGCAAATGAAGCAGCTGTCTTGAAGTTCTTAAGCTGCAAAATATAGAATGATATAATGTAACAAGTCTGATAACTTAATGCATCAGAGTTGGAAATACCACCAAGGAGAACATCTCACAACATTTTCCTTATATTTATGTGCTACTAGATGATTACAGGTAATCACATAATACATTATTACTTATAATTTCCATTGCATTGATAGGTCCAACATCAAGCAATAATATAGAATATAAACAAGAAATAAAAGTAAAACTAATAAATCATTAAATATATCAAAATGCCAAGATTTTTCTAAGGTGTCCTGTACAAGTTTAATACATGTCAATCTAAAGCAAAGAGTAACATTGTGAACTTCATCTATAAAATAATAATAATAACAACATCAATACATAATATTTATTTTTTAGTACAAAAATTATTGTGTGATAATAATATTGTTATTATTGTAATAAAGAAAAAAGAATAATTAATGATGAAGTGTTTATCCAATAAGAGTGAACAAATAATGCATTGTTTTAATTCAATCTGGTGGAGTGCTTGCATGGAAAAAAAGAAAAGGCTACATGTACATTCCATATACAACGCAAGTAAGGAGCCCACAAAAAAGGACACAGCTATAAAAAAAAAGCATAAATAAACATACAATAGACATAAACATATAACTAAACAAATAAACAAAAGAGAGTAGTCAGGAGAGAGGTTCAAACCTTGAAAAAAGATTGACAGCAGTTCTGAGGGTAAGGATTTGATGAACTGGCTGAAGATTACAATGGGTGAAATAAGCAGCCATCTGCAACAAATTTTATATAACATCATGGTCAGCTGTCATTGTGAAACCAAAGTAGAATATGATTTGCCATTGTTCCTACAGTGAGGATCCTACAGTAACAAGTGGCACTCAAGGATGTAGCTAAGGAAAAGCTAAGCAGGCCTTTTTTATTAGTCAGGCCGGTGTTTTCACTCAATTACACCTTTTCCAGGCTCCTTTTCACCTGGTGAAATAAGCCAGCAGCTGCCTCTTAAAGACTTTCCTGGGTGTTTGGTCTACTAACAACAGACACACAAGACTCTTCAGGAGTCGGTGAAACGCTCTTTAATCAAGGCTCTTAGCTAGAATGATTCTACATTACAAGGCTCTAACTTCAAGGATCATGCGTAGATATCATAAACAAGTGTCACATAGGCTACATCAATATCAATAATCAGCCTATCACATAATTATATATTCTAACATCTCCTATCACATACTTTTTCCCCAGTTTTTTTTTTGAGAAATTTGGTGGGTTTCATAAAATGCCAATCTCTAAAAATTGCAGAGGTTTTGGAGGCAGAATCATGTCATTCTCTAAGAGCAGAAATGAAAATTTCCAAGTACATGGTACTGCCCTCAAAACTTATATTCAGGAAAACTGTTTTATTCCTTAAAAATAATTATTTGTAACATTAGTAAAGACGAACCTCACATATCCTTTTCTGTTCTTCAAGGGTGGACTGTGGAAAAGAGAGAGATGTTTTAATATATGCAAACTTTGATGTTAGTGCCTGAGAGGCTGTGAATTCCCAAAGGGGAAAAATAGAGTGAGTCAGCAGGGGATTCTAGTTAGCAGGTTGAAAAGTGATATTTTACTGCAAATTGAGCAAAAGGAAAAGTTAAATTAGTTTTAAATATTGGGATTCAAGTTAATGAGATTCTATAGGGTGTAGCAATTAGGTAATCATTTCAAAGACTGTCAGTGATTTCAAGTGTTTCCACTTCTTCCACAATAATAAGAATCTGTTTCATAGTTTCTTATGTGCCTATTACAAGTCCACGTAATCACACAATAGAAAAATAATAAATCACAGGCTAACTAGAAAAAGAAAATTCCAAATGAGAATCACACCCATGACCTTTCAGAATACTGTCACAGGATTTTTTGATCAAAGAGTTTCTCAGTGCTCACCTTAGGCAGTTCCTTTCTATTGACTTCCATCTGTAGTCCAACAATATACTCACGGCAGATTCCTAACAACTGCTGAGCTTCACTGATCTCCTGTTTGCTGTCAACAACCAGAAGTGTGATGCTCAACAAAATTGCATGGAACTTTTGGACTGCTTCCTGAAACTTTCCACCTGTTGTCAGTTGATAGGCAGCCTGTTAGAAACAAAAAGGGTTGATTCGGCAGTTAGTAACCGTGTCAAGTCCTAAATAGACCTTGTCACGTTTCAGAAGCCATCGTGACAAGCAGGCAACCACGTGAGAAATTACAGTGTTTTCATGAGAATCTAGTCTTGAATAATTTCCGTAAAACAGCTGTTCTGAAAAAAATATGAACTGTATACTTTAGCCTCACTCCTATGGATTCTGCTGAAAAATGTTTAGGGTGTTACGTGCACCTGCATGCTTTAGAGCCACTTTTTAAAATTTTCTATGCATTTGTCTGTAAAAATTTTTCTGGCTGCCAACTAAAATTTCCCGGGAAAATTGCAAACAAATATGTAGAAAATCTAAAGCAAGCATCTGGAGAAATTCAAGCACAGGTATGGCCCCAAAAATTTGTTAATAGAATCCTTTGCTATGAAGCTTTAGTTTAGAATTCATACTTTTTTCAGAACATGCATTTCACTGAAATTATATGACATTAGATTCTCATACAACAGAAAAAACAGCTGTCTAGGAGACTATCCGTGACCTGGGATGTAGAGAGTCACGAATTTTGTAAAAATGGGAAGAACTAACCTGTAATCTCTGCACAAGTGTGTTTAGCTTCAGGCCTACTGCTGGTAGGCCACCTTTGGCTCCAGCCTCTCTCCTACATAGACAAAATCAATTAATGGTGAGTAAAACCTTTTAGACACTAAGCTCTGAATTTAGACCTAAGCAACGTATGTAAAATTCATTCTCAAAAGTAACCTCGCAGCTGCCTAGTTTGGGTTTTGAAAGCAAACAGAGTATACTTTTTTACAGGCTCTGTGAGAATTTTTATGTTCTTATTTTGTTCTTCTTGTTTAGCATTGGCATCTACTTGGGTGCAATAACAGCGTTTCACAATAATAGAAACCCACAGACTTTCACTCCTAAACCAAATAATAGCAGAATGATTTTGGACTTTCTTACTTTACAGTGCGACTACTATAACCAAGGTTACTTTGACAAAGTTGACCAATCAGATTACAGGAAAATAACAATACATTCCAAGAAAGTTAGTTGTCAATCATAATATTATCACCATGATATGAAATCAACAACATGGGTCGAAATCAACCAATAATTGTTGATTGGTTGTAATTATTACAACCTGAAGATGTGACCTTTGAACCCACTGAAGAAAGCCTGTGATTCCTGAGAGGTCCGTTAGAGTGAATGACAGAAGCAAAAAGCATAAATGTTAGCTATATTGTTGGCTTAAAGGAGCATGTTATTGCAAAGAGTGGCAATTGTAGTGAAGAAATTGCTGGTAGATAAACAACAGCTTGTGTCAAACAAATATGTGTCCACGAGGTTGTATGTAAAGTTTAGAATAGAAAAACATTGCCTGTTGAAACATTTTTCTTTCTTGAAAACATTTGCTATCAACATTGAAATGTTGAGCGTCAAGTAACTTATTGTTTTTTTTTAGGAGTTGCTAATTGGCCCACAACCAACTTTCTCGGAATGTATTGTTATTTCCTGTAATCTCACTGGTCAACCTTGTTTAAGTGGTTCCAGTTACAGTAGTCGCACTGTACAATCAAAAATACAAAAATGCAATTTAGATTTAACAAAAGAAATTAGACCCAACATCTTACCAGTTTCTGTGAGGATGCCCTAACAATGGTGGGCCTCCAGGGTTGGCTGGAAGAGCTGTTCTCCCACGACCAAAAGCCAGCATGAAAAGCGGCTTATAAGGTTCAAATAAAACCACACCAACTTGGTCATGTAGAAGCTGCATGAAAGGAAAACACAACTGTGGTCAGCATAATTTGCGCACGTGTTTACCTTCAATTATTTTACATCACACTCCCAGGGTCAACATGGAGATGTAAATTTATGTTGTTTTGACTTTTGAGTCGGTGGCCGAAACACCTTTTGAATTACTGTTTTAAAACAATTTAGGACTTTGGATAAATTTCGCCTTTGAACACTTGCATGCCTGACAGAGTTTAAACTATTCCCAAATCACTGCCATGGGATATCGAATGCAACAGTGTTTCCCTACCAATGGGCATATGAGTGAAACACATAACAGGGTAGTTTAACTTTAAAAGAATTGATGTTTAAGTCTGAAGACCCAGTATGTTATAAGAAAACAAACCAGGTGAGTAAGACTTTTGTTCATGTAGCGAGCCTAGGAACTTGAACCAGTTTATCAAAATTAAACTGGAAACTGTGACGACTCGCATTAACAGCACGTGATTTTCGCAATTCACTCCATAACATATCATTTGAGGGTTTAAAGATCACTACCGTGCCTTTTTAAAGCCTTCTTTGTTTGAAATAAGTTTCAGTGTAAAAGCTGAGTATTTGTACCAGGCCTTTTAACTATAAAATATACATGTGCTTTTGCCTGCCTTGCAATAACCTTCTTCACTCAGACCACCACACAAATCCATGTGAAAGCAGTAAATTCTGAGCTAAGACACCAGTATTTTTACCCTGTGGCCATAACGGTCTTATGGTTGAGTTTGTCAACAAAATCCTATGGTATTACCCTTTAAATGAAACCTTTTCGGCAATGTATTATTTTTTCAGTACTTTACAAAATGTCAAATACATAAACACATCTTGCATTATCTTTAATTAATTTTGACCTTGAGCACTGTTTGTTTTACCACCTACAACAAACTAAGGGAGAAAACTCACTCTCATGGCACTCTCATATGATCCAGCCAAAACATGGTCAACAGCAAGCTGGGAGTTGGTGCACCACACCTGTGTAAACAAATGACGGTAAAAATGATGATGGCAGAAACAAACAACCAGGCTTTAAGAAGAAATGAAGAAACCACTAGAACAAATACTCACCTGAGACTGGCTGGTACCTTTGACAGGTGGCACAAAGTAGCCCTCATCTCCAGTGCCAGCGGCCGGGCCAATGTCCTAGGACAGGGAAAATACATCAAGCCCAGGTTTTTCAATGGGTGGACAGTGCTATTCACTGGCTAAATTACTGTCCAGTGGATGGCACAATTGGATTTCAAAATACTCATCCACTGCATAGCGATTTATCGCGTGGATAGTGCTATCCACTTTAAGTTCATATTTGGATTTAGCTAAACTTTACACACAAAGGCTCATATATCCTTTTAATCCATATATATAGGTAACCATCAACCACGTTTCAAGCTCTCACAGATCAAAGTAGACCATAAGGACATTTTAAAAAAAAATCAGTTCAAGCCTTTTCCTAAACTTTACACAGCATCGACTAAAGATCACAGAGATAAAGTCTTCTTCTCAAAAAACATTACAGAGCAGGCTTTTTTGCTAAATGTGTACTCTTCAAACTAAAGCAATAAGCAACTTTGAATAGGGAAAAAATTAAGTCATGCTGAACTGAGCTGAACTGAACAGCATTTAAACAAGTTCTAGCATTAGTCAATGGTACAATAATGTTGTAGGTAAAATCCATTGTAACCTAAAACTGGAAGATTTCCTGTTTTTCCTCAATCAAGTTAGGCTGAGTACAGGTTGAACCTGAGGCTGGATTTTACACGCAGCACAACAATCACTTAAAACGTACTCATGAGCCTTGTATCAGTACCATTGAAATAATTATTTGTCATCTAACTAAGCATTTAAAAGTTCTTGAAATGACTTACCAAGTCAGGAGGAAGTACAAGATCTTCATCTCCAACATCCCAGCCACCACCTTCTTCATCTCCACCAAGAATATCACCATCCAGTCCATCATCTCCAAAACCACCCTCTGTATTCAAAGAGATAAAAAACTTGATTCAAGAGCACATGGAGCTTTCAAATTTTCCTCTTGTTTCTCAAATAAAGGCAATATGAAAGGAGAACCTAAATGTTTTTCAGAAGAAACTTGGCAAATTTTTCCAGGTAATCCCTTGAAGAGACCCTTCCCACATTCCTGTGAACAAAGACACTGACTCAAGCTTTGCTTGACAAAATACAGTGATTTGAAGGAAATTGTCCAACCAAGCCTTGACCTTGTTACATTGTGTTTGCTCACTGAAAAGGCTATATGTTATAGCCCACTAAAGACAAGTCTTTTTGGCGGCAAAAAGGAAGTCTGCCTTTAACTAACTTATTATAAAATAACAATATTCCTCTTGCCCTCATGGCCTGAATTGGAATGATTAAAATTCGGCTCGAGGAACAATTGTTAGCTATGAAATAACGCAAAGTGAATTGGAATGATTAAAAGAAAACCTTTTCTAAAGTGAGACTTTCTGGTACCTTCATCAATCACAAGTGCAGCATCTTCTCCCCAGCCTTCTCCTGCTCCCTCATCAATGTCAGCAGCCACCATTGCAGCAGCTCTATCTCCTGCTAAAGTTAGAATTCAGAGGTGTAATGAGGATGACGTAAACACCACGAGTACTAGAATTGAGGACACTGTGCAGAGAAACAGTCAGGCCATAGCACTGACCACTGCTACATGGAATTTGTTTCTCAAACAAAGTTATGTTTGTTACATTAAAAGTATGTTAAAGATAAGCATTTAGACATTTATGGCAATTATTTCTAAGACAGCTTTCTTATGCCCAGCCGTGTCAAAATAGTTAGCCTTTGTGGGTAAATATGTGCTTCAGTTTTGAAATATTTTGATGCTGTGGGAAACTAAATTGTTCCAAAGAAAATCTGTACTCCCCTCATGAAGAGTTAAAATTGGTTTGAACTTTTCTCCCCTCTAGAAAATACAATAATTTGAAAGGTGGAACACAAGATTTAAAATCAGTCGACAAAATCCCATGGTTTTCCTATTTCAATTAAACCTCTTTTGTGAAACATTTGCATAATAATATTTAAATCTTAGGACGTTACAGAGAAAACTTTCAAGCACTGGGGTTTTTGTTAGAAATTTTTACTCTGGCTGGAGGTTTACTTTGGCCACTTTTAGCAGGAAGGGGTTAAGAGCTAAGGATTGTGGATAATCAAGGCAAAAATCCAAAACATACAAGTAACAAGGATATCACTAAGTGGTGGTATGCTGATCACTGATTATAATCGACCATCAATGGAAATCTTTACACTATGCAGTAATTGACCATAGAAAATGTTCAATCCAGTATAGCAAGAAAAAAATTATTGTTGGCAAATCATGTGTTGTCTTTTTAATGGTCTCAAAATTAAAGAACAAAGAGAAATGGATGACCGGAAAGCACAGAAAAAGTTCTAAGCTCCAGGCGAGAACTAAACTCACAACCCTCCGAGTTCTAGATCAGACGTTCTTATCACTCAGCTACTGGAACTCTCTGGCAAGCAAGGTCAAATCCACAAGTCCCTTTTCTGATACATTTCATGTGTTTTGTCAGGTTCTAAAACACGGTACAGCAGCCATCCTGAATGGAATTCTTATGGATATTTTCCCAAATAAATCATAATCAACGATTGACTGGGTGGGTCAATCTGATTATTTCTGATCATCAATTATGAAATCTTAGCCAATTCCAAACCTTATCCTTTTGCATATGTTTAACTTACCTTTGGCAGCCATAGCCCCCTCAAAGAAGGTCTTAGCAACAGTAAGTAGAGGCCAGTTGCCTTCATTCTGTAGAATTGGTAGTGGTGGTTGTAAAAGCTTGGCACTTGGGTTAACAGGAGGCAACTGAACAAAAAAAATTGATTATTAACTTGTTTAGGAAAAGATTAATGTCAAATGAAAAGAAAAACAATTTAAGCTTGAGAAATCGTAAGGTAGCTGGAGTCCATCAACATAACAACAACAAAGTCCTGGCAGTTTTGTTCCAATTAAGGAAGACTAGGAGGATCATTTCCAGTATTCACTTACAGTCTCTGGGTCCAGACCAAATGTTTCTTTGATTTCCTCACATTCCTCTGTTAATCCATGTGTGGCTGCAGTTAAGTAGGCCAGTGATCCTACAGAAAGATGTCAAAACAGAGGAGGTAAAAGGGATGAGATAATAATGACCTGAGAATATAATGAACATGCTCAGCATCTCATTTGATGTTCAAGTATTTTAATTTTTTATTTTTTTGAGGGGGGGGGGTATTTCTAAAATCAAAATCTTGAACTCATTAAAACTAATAATAGGAATTCCAGTTAAATGAAACTACATGTACCTTGACCAAGAGTTTTTAGGATCTTGATTCTCTCCTCCACATCACCAGTGTACAAGGCATTGTGATACTGGCCACTCATGTCCTTACGGATTTCAGCTTAACAAACAAACAAACAAAAGGAAGACATTAAAAAATGAACAAATAATAAGCTCAAAGACAGAAAACGTCAATTGCCCAATCACAGTCTCTGGTATGAAGTAATGATGATAAGGAAACTTGCTCAAGAGAAGAATGCTATGTCATTTTTGGAGTTGGCAAAAATTGTTGTCTACATTTTGCAACAACTTCCCTGCAAAGTTGTCTTTATACCTTCATAAATTATTTGGTAATATCTTTTCATAGTAATGGAGACATTTTCAAAATCAGTAGCATAATCATACACTGTGAGTCCATGCATTGCTTGTTATCTTGGGCCTTTGGCAATTGTCACGTTCTTTCCTTTTTGGGTGGTGGGGTGGAGTGGGGTGGGGAGTTTGGAGATGTCCAGTGTTACAGAACCACATGCAGTTCGAAACAATAAAAAATGATCCTTACCAATCTTAGTCATCTTGCTGAGTTTTTCAAGGTTTCCAGTTATCAGGTAGAGGAAAGACAACTTGTCAAAGTTCTTTGTCCTTTGGTAAGCCATTTCTACAACCTGTTAAACAACAAATTAAAAGAACATGTTACTTGAATGAAATGATGCACCATAGCAGTTAATATTTCATAACAACTTAGGGACAGAAAGCGAAGGACTGGGGTGGGAAAAAAATCCACCCAAGAAAAATTCACATGAATTTTAAAAAATACATACAGCTGGAACATGCAGAAAAACGTACATGCAAGCAAGGGAAAAATACACACACGATGAAACAAAAGAATTTACTTGCAAAGCAGAATCTCCCCCACCCCCTTCATTTTTCTAATGGACCTTCCCTTATCATACTGCTCAATCAATTAAAGCATGAAACCAAAATAAACTTGTTACGAATTGTTCACACATTTTGCCACACTTTTTTTGCAGGCAACATACCATGGGACAATGGGACAATCCTGGAGGATAATCCCAGAATAGAAATGGGAATAGGAATAGGAATAGAACAACTATGGAACTATAATATAATTTTTATTTGTTGCACAAGAGTGTACTAGAGTTTACCAGTTCTGTACCTGATGGTTTCCTTGTGTCAGAGCAGCAGCTCCTAGTCTCTCCCAACAAGCCTTATCATCAAGACTCCGAGCTGCTTCCAAAGCAACCTGCCAAAAAAACATAGATGTATAGTTACACTTTATTAAATCTATGTAACTTGAACAGTGGTGTCCTACACAGCTGTCCCTTTGGCTCACCTTCCAGCAGGGATTAGCATCATATATTTTATTTATTTTTGCTAAGACAAAATGTACAAAAGCAATAAACATAAATTCATACATGTATTTTAATACTGGAGACTAAGTGGTAGACAGTAAAAGCCCAGGTACTTACCTCAATGTTACCACATTCCAGGGCCAATCCAAACCTAGTTTTCTCATCTTTCACAAAATGTAGAGCAACCTTGAAGAGTAAAACAATTTATTTATTTATTTTTATCTATTTATTTTTGCCATCCAAAATGTAAAAAAAAAGAGAAAGAAAAATACACTATAGAATATAGTGGGGAGGAAACCTTAAATAGAAACCACAAGGCTTATAACATACGGCTTCCTCAAGTACAACTCATGATGGCTATACATGCACAGCTATGACAATTTAATTCCAAAAGAACTGATGAAGATACAGTAAATGAGTAACAACAATCAGTGTGTAAATTAATAAAATACTAAAATTACGGCAAACATATACAGGGTGCAAAGAAAGTCACTTTTACAGCTTGCCACTCGGGCAAGCTGAAGCTAACATTTACTAACCCAAACATCATTTCAACTAGCCCCAAAAACGTTTTGATGAGCAGATTGATTTCACAGTTCTTCTGTAATTTGAATTCCGCAAAAGAATTCACTTGCCCGTCAGGAAAGTTAATAACAGAATTCACTAGCCCGATAGCAAAATCCACTAGCCCCTGGCTATCGGACACTACTTTCTTTGCACGCTGATATATTACAAACAACAAATATTGTAATTAGAGGACAGGTAACCTTCTATGATAATAACACTGGCATTACTAGCTGCAAATTAAAGCAGTTACTAAAGAAACCTTAGCTAGAGAATTAACAAAACCATAAAAATGCAGCTGAATGTGAATCAGAAATGACAGATCAAAATGATGAAAACAGTCAAGCGCCTCCTCCTGGACAACTCCATAATACAGACTCCTCTCTCTTAAAGAGAGTTCTGTGCATTACAAACTTTGATAAGGACATATCTGTAGTGTGAACAATTGACTTTGTCCATTTGCTGTCCATATTTAGGAAGTTTGAGTGTAGAGTAATGGGCAAAAAAATGAGAGAAAACCACTTACTTCTGGATAGCCTTTTTTCTGCAGGTAAGAGATGATAGATTGTCCAACAAGCTTTGCATTTCTCACCATGTGCAGGACCTAAAGAAGACAATACACACACTTAATTCACTAAATTTACAGAATGCATCAACAAGATAAGTCACTATTTCCCTAAAAAAATATTATCAAACTTCAGTCACACACTTACCTCATCATACTTGCGATTAATCAGAGCCAGTTTGAATTTGAACTCTGTGGGATCTATTCCTAGAACTCTGGTTTTACACTCACGGTCAAGACAGTAAACACTACTTCCCTGCAGAAGTAAAAGACAGAAATTAATTGGGGTTACAGTTTGTCATGCTTCTCTACACTGATGAATATCACTTTTTACTTTAAACTCCTAAATAACTTAAATAATGTATTTTTAGCTTAAAAAGGAATAGTCTTTGCATGACAGCTGAAGCTAAGAATATGGGACATAAAAAAGAAGACTAACAGTAAGCAGTTGAAACGCTGCTTTCTAAATCTAAAGAGACTACATCATGAGACAGAATATAACAACCACTTTGTCTTTGATACAAGAAAACTGCATCAAAAAGGTTGTTACAAATCTTTCACTTTGGACAAACAACTCTCAGACGATGTCCATGAAAGCAAGTCAAGATACACAAAACAGAAAATATAATAAACTTCACAGACAAAAAGACAGTGTAATTCTTTTCTTTCAGTAACGATGCAAGGTTCATGTTGAAGTCAGAAGACCCAGCATGTTAAAACAAGACAAACCAGGTGAGTAATAGACTTCAGTTTATCTAGCGAGCCAAGAAACTTGAACCAGCTTATCAAAGTCAAACTGGAAACGCTGGTAACTCGCATGGTCAAGGGTTAGTAGGGAGCCTTAGCAACTACTACAGCAACGGCAACAACAATAGCAAGAAAGCAATAGGTAAAGATTGGCAAGACAACAAGTCTGCATGTACATCACACTTTTTTGTACATTTCTTTGCCATTGTTGCAAGATTATGACATGAAACATCCTAATTTCATGTCTTACGAAAGACGTGAAGACAACAAAACGATTTGATTTTTTTTTCTGAACTTAGATATAGTCTTTTGGAATTCAACTCCAGGAAAATTTGCCAACATCAGAGACATTGAGTGAGATGGAATAAGAGTGAAGGAGTTTGAAGCAGCGCAAATTCATTTTTTGAGTGACGTTTTCGTTTTCGCTGCCGTCATCAAAGCTAAAACTCCCCTGAACCAAGTATAGTGGGAGCCGCACCTATGACATTTTCTGAAAAGCAATCTTACCTTGACTCTCGTAATGTAGATGGGAAGGTCAAGAGTACGAATAATTCCATGATCACTACAAAAATACCACACATCATGTACACATTAACTACAGAGGGTCAACATCAAACCTATTTGTAACACTTCTTTAAAGCATGGAGGTTGCTTGTAAAAAAAGGATTTATCAATTCTATTGGCAGGCAATGGCAAAAAGTAATTTTCTAACACCTGAGCAGTTTTGCATTGATAAACTAACACTGCACATGAATATAATTATAACCTGCAAATACAGGCACCGCTTATCACTTCCTGCCACTGAGGACAAAAAGTGAGAGATGAGAGAAGCAATGAGTGGCAGATCTGAACTGTGACTGGATTTCAAAGCAAAAGGTTTCTCACAGCATTAATGTCGTACTCTAAATAAACTCCAGGTCTAAAAGAGGAAGTTGCAAATACGACTCATATACTTTATTTGCAGTATAATAAGCACAGGTATATATTTATCTAGGGCCAATAAAAAGAAACAAAAACCCTTTTTCCAATTAAAAATAATAGAGAGGAAAAGTCATTATGCCACGTTGCTATGGCAGCAAAATTTCTTGATCTCAACAAACTTTTGTCCGCCAAATTTGGCAGAAAAAACTAAAACATCGACAAGCATGAATTTTCTGTGCACAATAGCCTCTACTTTCCTTCCATTGTTTGCCAATACAAATGGCCATCTCTGTTGAGAAAAATTGTTGAGATCCAGAAATTTTGCTACCATGGTAACATGACATCACACTTCTCTCTATAGCAGGCTGGAATAACAAAATTGCAGATTTAAACAAACAATGGGTTCACCAGCCCATGTTGAGATAAAAGTCAGAGGTGTATTATCAACCTTAATAATAAAAGCAGACACAAACAGAAACAACATAATTAAGCTCACCCATTAGTTAGTGCATATTTGATATGGTTGCTAGTGGTGTAGACAAACACTCCATTTTCTTCCCATGCTCCACTCTTTACACGGATGTTCTCATGGATGGTACATAAGCACTCCAGTTTTCGATTACAAATGGCAACAACTGCAAAGTAACATAAACATGTTCAACCTTGAGATTTCTACATGTTGAAAAACTACCAGTAAGCAGCGAATGTTGTTTATGCAAAGTATAGTAAACGAATCTATCATGTGCTGCCTAAGACAGAACCTACAGACACCGTGGCCTTTTAAGAGGGCAACATCTATCAAATGAATTTCTAACTTGGACTTACCATGTTTTCCTAACAAGCTGACATAAGACATATCTGAAGACCACACAACATATCGCACCTTGTTCACTTTCACTGACGCAAGGGACCTGTAAAGATAAGAGAAGAAAAACAAAACAAGACAAAGTTACTACTTCAAGGTCTGCAGATTGTACATGTATTTTTACTGGAATAAAAGCTGCGATGATCATCTTTGTATTTAATTGTATTTTACTGTTATCAAAGTCGCAGTGTTTAAATGCACAGAAATAATATTACTACAACCAATAGAACTGACTAAGAGCATCACCAAGACCAACTGTAGTTTCATATTTTTTCAAATGTAATTATTACTGACAGAAGTGAAGGGTTTAAAGTGATAATTTATGTACAATTTACACACCTCTTCTGCTGCACATCAAACAGGGTAACAGAATCACTATCTCTTAAAAGAAGGCTTCCAGTACCAGCATAGAATATCATCTCACAAGGAGGAGTCTGAACTTTTTTGGTTACTTCATTCTTCAGATTCTTGATAAGCAGCTAAAAGGGAGAGGCAAAACAACCATCTTGCTACTTAACTCTGTGACAAGTCAAATGAAACTGACAATGTTTTGCTGCTGTAAAGTAGTTAACCTTTTCACAAAATTTCCCTTAATTCTAATTTGTGGAAATTACCATTGAAACCTTATGGTTCCATTATCTGTTCAGAAAGAGGTAATGTTTGAGAATGAACAACAGTGATTGTTATACTCCTAGACTTTCAGTCTACTAAGCAGAGACTGCCACTGGTTGATTCTTGGTCACGAGTGGCCTTGACTATAATCAAATGTACATGTATTCCAATCATGACACATTTGAGTATTTGTACCCCGCTTGGGATACAACAGCATTTGCTCAAAGAAAGTGCTGTAGCAGGAGGCAGAAAAAACAGTCTGCCAGTATAAACACAGCCTTAGCTATATCAAGATTTCACTTGGAAAAACTGAAACACTTACAGGATCAGGAAACCAATAACATCTACCTTGGAAGGTGACCACCCACACAACAAAGAGTATCATTTTTCAGAGCGTTCTATGGATTTGCTAAGTCCTTGTAAATACTGAAGAGTTTATCACAAGTGACAAACTGACCCAGGAGTGGATCTTTGTTACAAAAGGTTTTTCAATATTGAGCCTAAAGAAACAAGTTACCATCATAAGAGTAAAGACCCTTACTGTGTGTGTCCTGTCCAACACTGCAAATCTATTGCGAGCCACCCATACTGCCGTCAATCCAGATGCTCTCTTGCCTTCTGACACTAAAACAAAGAGAAGCAGTACAACAAGTCAAACACAATATGACTTAGGAGTCCCTGATTTTAAGCAACCATCCAGAGCATATAGTTCTGTATTTCACATGTACATGTACTTCTGTATAAATTAAAACCTACCTTCTGGGTTGCTGCTATCAATTTCCTTTGGAACAGCATGCAGCTCATAAACACAGTTCTCTGGATTACTTGCATTCTAGTGAAAATAAAAGGAGGCATTTTACAACAATGTACCAGTTGGTCAAATTTATCCTTGGTTTTAAGTTGACTTTCCCTTGTATGCAAAACATAAGTTTATTGTATAAGGACACCTCAAAGAGACAACTACATATCCAGCAAAAAATTAAATTACAAAGGTACAACATCATCATCTCATAAAGTTCAACATACCGTGCAGAGGAGAACACAGTTTTCTGCAGGATTGTAAGACATGCTGTACACAGGTGTTCGGGAGGAATTGCGCTTAAACTGCATGACAGGTACATCTTTTGAGGTTCCAAATTCATACATCCTCAAATATCGGTCCTGCAAAGCATTTAAACAGAATAAATGTTAGAGGAGGTAACACTTTGAATTGCTAAAAGTGAAAGGTGGCCTCTTTTCTGGAGTTATTTTCCAGTCCATGGGGATCTTTACCCAGGGAAAATGTTAAACAAAAAGTGAATTCAAACTTCTCATTCCATCTTGTTCAATCTGTCAATGTTCACAGATTTTTCTGGATTTGAATTCTAAGTTAACAAAAAGAAAGATTAAATAGTTTTCCCATGTACATCCTTCATAAAAATATGAAATCAGGGTCAGGGCTCTCATTAAGTTTTGAAGCACCCGTAGCAAATGAAGATTCAACCATAACATTGATAGCAAAAATTCTATTTATCCACGAAAACCTTACGAACACTATATTTTTCTCTAGTCTATCCATACCTTTTTTACTGCAACTTAGTTTGGGCCTCTACTTACAGAACTAACCTTATTCGTCTTGAGATTTTACAGAAACGAGTGATCAGAACTATAGCTAAAACCACTTTCGATGCACATACTGATCCAATCTTTCAAAATCTTGGTATCTTAAAATTTCATGATATATACTTAATACAACTAGGCTTATTCATGTACTCCTATCAAAACCATACTCTACCTTTAAAATTTCATTGTAAATTTACCTTACAAAGTCAAATTCATTCGTATAATACAAGAAACTCGTGTAAATTTCGTCTGCCTTTCTGTCGTACTCGAACCAAGCAATTTTCCGTTTTTTATCAAGGACCTAAATTTTACAACACCTTAAACACCAACATCATCAACGCTTCCTCACCTTTCTCCTTTAAAAGAGCACTTAAGGCATTTATTTGTAATAATTATTAGTATACTTCAACAAAAATCTTGGGAAAAAGCCTTTTAATATTCAACATTTGTACATGTAAACTTCCGTAATATTGATTAGTTTAATTTTTCACCTGATATTATACTGTACCCGTCGCCGTAATTTTTATGCCATCTTCGAAAAATTGTAATTGAGGAGGCCTAATTAACATAAGCTCTATAGTTTCTTTTAGGCCTCCTCGCCATCTCTTCCTACATTTTTTTTTTTCTTTTGGCATCTTTAAGTAATGTAATTGTGTGGCAAATAAATAAAAATACCTAAATACCTAAAAATTTATAGTGCAACCTTAAGCTTTCCACTTTTATCCCCCGTAACATCAAGAGAGTTGAGCCCTAACAGGTGTTATGGGTTATGGCCCCCAAATGACAGCTCTGAGGGTGACCCACATACAGAGTTGTTGTTTTGCCAGTCTAATCCTATCGCTTTTTGCCATTCTCCTTGCCATCGTAATGGTCATTGCTAAAGCTCCCTAATATGTTCAACACACCTTGGTGTAATACAAAGTGTTTCCATGCACAGCATAGGCTGGTCGCTCTCTTTCTAATTTGAAGACAATCATTCCACTGTCATGACCTAAAAAGGATTTAACAACAGAAAAATTTAAATTGTTTTTAAAGAAGGAGCACTGCACCTCTTACAGTCAATCTAGATCAAGCGTACTGCCGTAGATTTCATTAATGAAACAACTATTTGAAAAAATGAATCCATTTGAAATTGCTACAACCAGTATCAACTTTAAATCTACATTCTGGCAGGCATAATGAGTAGTGAATTTTTTTTATGATAACCTCTCTGTATTCCGTCAATCAAATCTTTGAATGGACAAAATTGCTTTGAAGACATTTACATCAAATTCAAGAAAACTGAGCTGGAGGAAATTTTATAACTGCTGTACGTGAATTCACTGTTCATTACGCAAACAGGAATGCAGACATGAATCTGAAATCTACAACTACCGACGGATTCAATTTTTGAATATTAAGTTGATAATGGAATCTTGGGGGGTGAGCTTGACCTGGCTTGACTGTCATGCCATAAACATACCAGCAGCAAAGAGATTGAGTGTGGGGTGAGCAGCAGCTACCCAAAACCTGTCATGTTCTCTTCTAAAGGTCTGGACTCCAGTTCTGAAAAGAAAACACATGAAAAATTTACACAACAGTACAAAATGAACTCATAAGTATTTCAGCGCTGCACATTTACATGTCCACTTCTAATTCACAGAGACAATAAAGGTATCTGTGATGGGTTCAAAAATGTCTCCCTGACCAACTATTGACATCAACCACTGCTGCACTAATCAGGGTGTTCATTATGAATCAGAGATCAGAGAGTTCTTTGTTTACTCTGCACAATTCTCTGGCAAACTTTTGGTAGCCTGCGACTATTTTCTATTCAGACATGGAGCCTCTTTCAAAATATTCTCCTGTAGCATTACACCTTTCTCCTGCTACTAGAATTCCTAATGAAAACCCTGACTAATACCTATTTAGCCTGAGAAAACAGCCATAATTTTGCAAGGCTAACACTGGCTCCCTGCGAAATAATGTCTGAGGAATGAATGCAGAAATTCCATGCGGATGGTAGAGCTTCTGTTTGGTTGTGCTGCTAGGGAAACTTGCTTCAATCAATCAGAAGCACTACCCGGGTCTGGGTAGTGACCACGTCATCAGTATGAAATTTCCAGTCATTCCTCATACGTCATTTCGCAGGGAAAACAGTGGTGGCATCATGAAATGTCGGCTGCTTGATCTCAGGCTAATTAATGCATATACCTTTTTGACATGTCCCAAACTCTGATGCTTTTGTCTTCTGAGTTACCTGAATAAAGCCAAAAACATTAATGCACATCGTACAGAGAGTAACTCTATAAAACTACAACTTTTCAAAATGAACAAGATAACTTTGCATAATCATTTCACTCGATTATGATACAACTGTACATATCGCACTAAATTCTAACCAACTTTCAGTTCTTTCTATCACTTGTGAAAGGGTTACTTAGCTCTCTACGCCCCAATATTCATTTACATATTATCCAGAATGATCTCTATACATTTTCCTCAAAAATTAGTTGAGAGAATTTGATAGAGGATCAAGGCATTGTCACTTTGGTGAGCATTTTATAAATCCTGGTGGCCTTTTCCCTTGCTTATGTTCTGATGTTGTTAGGAGAAAAGGCTTTAAGCATTAAAACAGGTGAGGTTAAATAATCCACATATCCACGTGTACACTCACTGAGAATAAGTTCCTGTCTAGGGTGGAACATAACACATGATACATTGTTGTAGTGACCGCGACATGTGTCGACTTCCCAGGCTTTTGAATCTGAAATAGATGGTAAAAAAAAAAGTTAGGGTTTGCTTAACACCTCTAGAATATTATTATGCAACACCAGGATAGCACCATTTTTCATGTGAGATGCACTGAGAATTATTATAGGAGATCATAGCTGTCATTAAGGTTTTAAGTGGCTGGGCTCTCAGAGGAAAGTAGCTAGTCATTTATCCCACAAATCCTCCTATATTTGTTATGTTTGACTCATTTTCACACTTCGAGTACATGTACATGTAGGAGGCTGATTTTTATGCAGTAGTGGGCTAAAAGCTAATGACAGCTGTTGGAGGGAAACACAAAGTGTATGAATCCTAATTATCACACACAAGGGTACCAGAATGCAAAACAGAAAGGTCAAGACTGTTATGATAAGTACCATTCATTCTCCAGAGCTTGACCTGTCTGTCATCAGCTCCAGATACGATCAGTGGCATTGTAGGATGAAACGCAACCCAGTTCACACCACGATCATGGCCCTGCGGAAATAATGTTGAAAAAAACTTGTTAAGCTCCATCCTAAAACTTTTAAAGGCAACCCCCTTACAAACTATCATGTCTTTACCTCCAAAACATGCTTTACAATGGCATCTGACTGCCCAAACAGATCTGTGTGACCTGGTGTTTTGAGGTGCTCCTCCAATCCACCAGCTCCAGGGGCAACAGTTTTCTTCCTCAGACCTAGAATAAAGAGTTGAGGTAAAAAACATTAAACTTCAAATACATATGTTCATCAAACTAATCAAAATCAAACTGCTGTAGTGTTAGGTTCACTGTTTTACTGATAACACAACAAGAACAGTTAATTGGAAGGTAAATGTGGTGAGTTGCCAGAACCAGTCTTCACGTTATAATCGATAAAATTTAATCTAGGGAAACTAAATTTAACTTGAGGTAACAGGGAACTTGACTTATTTGAGCTCAAGTACAAGTTAACCAATGTAAGAATGACTGAAAAGAACGTTGAAATCCAAGGGAATTGGGAGTCAGTTCAAGTTAGCTGGGAGTGCAAGTTATGAGAGTTCAAATCACCAGGTTTCTACTGCACTTTCACTCAAACAAAGTGCACAAACACGAAAATACTCCATTGCTTCATTTGTTACAGTAACAATAATACAAGACAGGCATTCTGATAGAGTGTGATCAAAAATCAGAAATTATGCGGCACTTTCGGGACTATTATGAGATAAATTATGCGTTTTTTTCAGGACTAATTAACATTGTTTTACCAGGTTTCAAAGGAGAAAAATCACTTTAATGTTGTTCAACAGGCAATTTGAATGTAAAGGAAAAATAAATTTGTCCAATTATGTTGACCCGGAAAAGAAAACAAATAGAAAGAAAGAAAAAGGACAGTTGCTTAATATTACGTGACACCGTTACACCGCTGACCACACTGCTTGTCTCTGAAATCAAAATGGCTGCCCAAAGATACCGTGATCGAAGGTTTCAGATGTCTTACAAGGCTTTCTTTAGTGCTAAATCACTTTAAATAACATTAAGATTGGGAAAATATTTAATTAAAGTTATAATTTATTGTTTACTTTATTCAAATTTAGCATTTTTTTACAAATTATACTATTTTCCTCAAATTGTGCGATCCAATGTGATTGCACCATTGAACAAAATCAGTAGCCCTGCTTCAAACATCATTTCAATTTATTGCGAAGAACCTTAAGTTAAAGCAAATATTTCATTTTAGTTTTCTCAAATTGTAAATTTTTAAAGAATTATGCGGTTTTTCACGAATTCTCTGAAAAGTTGCAATTTGAGGTCTATTATGCGAAATTGCAACATTGCAGAATATCAGAAGCCCTGTTAAGAGTACATGAACTACTAAAATGCAATGTAACTGTATCAATGGAAAGGTACATAAGATCGAGAATGGTCAAACAACAAAATCTTCAATAATCACAGACTCATATCGTTATACATGTACAACAGTTACGCCACTACAACAATAACAGGGGCTATACAAAAGGACAATGCATAAATGACTACTGCATTTTTGCATAAACATAGGGAGGCAGCTTACCGGAAATATCCCATACTCTGACTGTCTGGTCTAGAGATGCAGAAACCACCATGTCCTCGGATGGATGAAACTGTGCACACATCACATAATGATTGTGGCCTGTTAAAACACTATTTAGGAAACAAAAAAACTCAGTTAAGCAGCTTGGTATGAAATCAGCACTCACCCTTTCTTCTCAAGTAATAAGTTACATGTAGTTCGTTAATAAGGAGATTCACTATCGAAGATGGCGACAGCAACAGAAATGCCACTATTATTAAGACTTTGCTTTTTTCAGACTTTGTTGCAATTATTTTGACTTGCTTAAAATGTCAAATGCAAGTGAATTTTTTCGGAATTGAATTCTTGGAGACCGAACCCAAGTTTGAATGAGAGGCAACAGAAATGCCAGTATCATTAAGACTGTCAAATGTAGGTGAATTTTTTTGGAGTTGAATTGTTGGAGACCAAATCCAAGTTTAGAATGAGAAGGAAAAATTTAATTTGCTGTGTTGTGTTTACATCCTCTGTAAAACATTGCTTCAAGAGGGTATTTAATGTCATTGTCATAAAAAGATGACAAAGAAATGCATAAAAAAGTTTGCTGCATGTACAAAGTTGTTGTTTTGGTTGCTAAACCTATTGATTTTTGACATTCTTGTTGCTGTCACTGTTGTACATGTACCTTAATAAAACTAACAGAACTACTAACACTAAAAACAAAAATGTGAGTGAGTGTTAAAGGAATCTGTTAGAATAACATTACTTTCCCTTCAGCACACATGATCAAGATAATTATACATTTTTACACATAATGTACAAATCTCACCATACCCCAAAAATGTGCATGTTAAAAGCACCACTTAGAATAACATTGTTTTCCTTCCAGCTCACATCCTCAAGATAATTATACAACTGATCATTACACATAATGTACAAATCTCACCATATACATGTTCGGGACTGCCAGTTCCAGATGCGAATAGTTTGATCATCAGACGCACTGATTATCCATGGGTATTCCTTTAAAACATTTGGCATATAAACATACTGAACATTAAAGCATACTGCACTATACCAGTTACTCTACAGCCAAATTTCTCAAAACCACAACTCTGTAAGAAGGACACCACCTTAAAAAAGGACACCTAGAATTCCTAACAGTGTAAATTTCTTTACTCCTTTTAGTTGACTTAGTTTAGGATGGACACCTCTCTAAGACGAACAATTAGTGCTGGTTCCAAAGGAATCAGTCTCTAAGAGAGTTGATTGCAAAGATATTTCATTTGCATTACATTTGAACCTCCATGTCCGACCACCTCTCATAAGCAACCACCTCCCACATAAGAGACAACCTATCCAAAACACCAAATTTTCCCCTGACAGTTTTATAGTTTTCCACAGTTTTTAACCTCTTATAGGGGACCACTTTTCCCATGGTACAGTGTCTTTCTTTGGTATATGTGCTACAGAGTGTATGAAGCACTTTCTGTAGACTGATACGCAACTTAGAAATGATGAGCAATAAATTCTCTGCCACAAAATAGATGTTTCTGGACCTCTTCTCGGAAGAGAACCCTGTGGTTCAATTCTAGTACAGCTGCACATGTAAGTGGCCTCCTCCTGGAAGAGACCACTAAATCTTCACATTTTGGGTGATTGCTTAAGAGAAGTTCAAATGCATTTCAAATGACTGTTGAACCCAAAAGAACGTGACAAGGTAAAAAACCGTCAACTGTTTTCACCAGGATTTTAATGAGACTTGACCCTTGACAGGGTTTTCAATGACATCAAGTAATGGTACATGTCATAAAATTTGACCAAAGGCTCAAAGAATCTTATCCTGATTCCATCCACACCCCATCCCCAGTCAAATAAAAAAAGACTAATAGTCTGGCAGAACTATTAAATTCTCTTACGTGATGGAAGAATGTTGTTCTGATGTAATCAAGATGACCTAGAAGAGTAAACAGACATTTCTTCTGCTTGTAGTTCCAGATCTGCAAGATTAAAATCAAGTTCAAAAATTAATATGCATATTTGACTACATTCACAAAACCAAGTACACTGGTCCAGGGTTCATGTATATATGTTACAGGTCAAATTTGATTTAACTTAGGTTGATTCCCAATTCCTTTGCCTCCTACACCTAAGAGACAAAGGAGATTGAGAATCAACCTAGATTACAACAATTTAACCTGAAATCAAATTAATTTTTACCTGTAACATATACACATGTAACGGTCCATTCTACATTTTGAGTGCTTGCTTTTAACAGCCTTTCATTCCAAATTTCAAAAAAGACCTTGCAGCTTGTGGGATAATCCTAGTCAAATAATTTTTGTCCAAGGGCCTCAGGGCTACTTGCAAAGCAATGTTCTATTACCAGCCACCTTTCACTTAGTAATACTATTACTTATAATCATTGGCCTTTGCTAAACCAAATGTGCACTTCAAACTCTACCTTGACAGTGGCGCTGAGAAATGGAAGACTTGTTCATTGACTACGATAACATGCATGATCAGGCTAAAACATAAGTATCAAACCTTGATTTTGTAATCATCTCCTCCCGAAACAAAGAGAGGCTGATTGTTGTGGAAATTAATGCCTCTTACAGGACCTGCATTGTAGGAAAAGTAGCAATTTATTACGGTGTGAGAGTCATGCTGACTGAAATAAAAAGGTCCCTCAATGATGTCAAAATGTTCAAAACACAAGTGGACCTATATGTAAGCTGCAGGCAAGTGGTTTCACTGCAACGTTTGACCTCATGTCAACAGTCTGCAACAGTGTAGAAAATCAAAAATTATTGTTGTCTACTTTTTTACAACACTGACAGTTTTTAACATCCCTTTCCAGCAAGTTTCTTGGAAAACCACATGCAAGAGGCAAAAAAACAAATTGGACCATCATCATGTCATTTCCGTGGTCTATTCATACTCCCACAGAACGTACATCTCAAGCAATCAGCTTGCGAGTAATCTCTCAGTTATTATATAATAACAACAATCATAAATATAACAAAATTCATCAACTGTCCTGATTTAAGCACTAATTGGACAGTATAATAGGCCAGTAGGCTTCATGCCTATGTAATTGGACAGTATGCTTCAAGCACACACTTAAATGGGTTTTATTTTTACTTCTACCAACAAAATCTTGGAATATCCTTTGTTTTAATTTTAAAAAAGGTAAAGATATCACAAATTTTATTGCAGTTATGAAACTAACACATACATAACAGAACTTTGTGTCGTCCAATTTGGTCTGTAATCATGTTCGTGATAAAACAAATCTGACTCCCGCACAGTCATCCAATTTTGTTAATCACTTGTATGATTACAGACCGAATTGGACTCTATTCAGTTCTATTACCATGATAAATAATAATATTAATGTAATCATCCAAAACAGTATACAATATGCTCACCATCATGTTCATCAAATCTCTCCAACAAAGTGCACATGCGATAATCCCAGAGCTGAATAACACCATTGTGAAGACTTGCTAGAACCCATGGCCTCTTTGGGTGAAAGGCAATGCCTACAAATGCAAAAAGCAACAATAACACTTTAGTTAATAGGACTGGTAATAACTCTGAAAAGTTGTGCCTTGTCAACTACAAAAGGCCTTATGTTTGCTGTTTCCAAAAAAAAAAAGAAAAGCTATGGTCTTCTAGACATTTTCTTCTGTCACCTCATTGGGCTCTTACTTATCTACTTCTGCTATTGTCCAAATATCTATTCACACTACAACAAAGAGTGAAGAAACCTATCTTGTATGTGACAATCCACGGGGTTTTCAATAAGAGCCAGCAGCCAGCGAAATTCGCAGACTATTTCTAGAGAACTTGCCACCTACTTTTCTTTGGTAATTACTCCAGTTTTTGCAAATAACATAAGAAACATTTGCCACAGAACTCAAACCTGGAATTGGCAAAGTTTTGTTCTTGAAAAACCTGAGAGTCTTGCCTTAATTCTGAGCAGCTTTCATCATTCAATCATCAAAGCCAAACACTCTGCTGAGCAACCTTGAATTTCCCCAAAACTGTGGGGTCTGGGTGCCAACGCAGCACAACGCGTACGTAAATTTCCACACATTCTCTCGATGAATAGCAAGGTCAAGCAGAGTTCATGACATGTCCATTGGGAATGAATTCTAAGAGGCCCAGATTTCAAAACTTTACCGGGAGAACTTGCCCACTGACCCCCCTAGGAACTCGCACCTTTGGCGCAAGTTTTTCCTTCTCCACCTACTCCATTTAGCTTTTGCCACCTACTTAAACCTTATTGAAAACCCTGAATCCACTTTCAAGATCAGCACAGTGCAGGTTTGTTCTGTTATGGAAATCACCATTCTTATGTGTGAATGGAAGCTCTATCCAGTATACAGCTGTAGTTTTCTTGTCAGCAAAAGAGCTACATGACAGTTTGAACATACCTAATGTCAGACTCAAACTGAAATTGACCAGTAAGTTATGCCCATAATTGTTTAGGTTAACATTTCTGCACAGCCCAATACATTTATTATGCATAAATGTTTCAAATCTACGCACATTAACTTACTTGTGTGAAATAATGGGAGATTACATTAAATAAATGTATGGCACTTGTAGAAATTTTGAAAAAAAAGGTAATTGTGGCCATCGGAGATTAATGCATGGAGAATAAATGTACCTGTTGCACTATGCAAGAAATGACCTGTACCCTTTTTTTCATGTGAAAAGTTTTTTTCATTTTTTTCAAAACGCTAGAAATTTTGAAAAAAAAGGTAATTGTGGTCATCGGCATGCTACTTAACATGAAGGAAATAGAAATTTTGAAAAAAAAAAAGGTAATTGTGGTCATCAGAAAAGGAGAAGTAAGTGTGACCTGTACTGTTGGGTCCAAAAAACTATTTTTCTCGATGCAAGAAGTCACATTTCATTTTTTCTTCAAAGGACGCTAGTCATCGGTGTGCTATACGCCAAGAAGCTTAACATGTAACCTGATGCATCAAATGTCAACTTGAGCACCACAAATGTTCCCTTCAATGCAAGAAATTAAATCACGCTGTTTTTTTCTACAACAGGTTGCGTTTCATGTTTATATGACAAAGCAAGTCGTTAAAATCACAAGTGCATAACAGACAAAACAAAAACTGTAAACACGCGCTCTGTCCATAGAGAGCTTTTTTTTATATTTTTAAACTTCTAAAGCTCAATTTCAATATTTGAAGCTTGGCAAAATCATAAGTATGGCTTTCCAGCTCGAGCTAGCTTTTAAATAAAACCTTAAACTCGCTCACGTTAAAAATTTGAATATAAAACTCTTTAGGGATAATCAAAACGTTTTCTGGCTTAGGTCGAAACAGGCTAGCCATAAAAGCTGATAAAGAACTGTCCCAATTAAGAGAATAGTTACTTGTGTAAAGAACCTAATAAAGCAACGAAAAGATCAAATGTGAACAGAGTGAAACAAATCTTACAAAAAAAATTCGTGAGACAAAATACTACCATTTCAAAAGTTACAGTTTTGTGCAAGCATGCATGCCACAAAATATTCGAAAGGAACTTAGCAGCCTAGTTGTACGTTGTCTTACCTTTCACTCTGGCTGATTTCGTTTCGAATTTCGTTAGCATGGCAGCTACAACTTCTTTGCTTCACAAAAAAAGCACATAAATCCTATGTGCCGATAAGAGATCGTTTAATCTGGGCAAAGACCGCCAATATGCTGTAAAAATTGGTTAGAAAAATACACATCTACCGCGAAGACCAAGATGGCGGTCGCCACGTCATTTCAGACATGTGTGTGCGCCTCGATTTCGTGCAAGAACTCCCCTTCCCTCCCCTCCCACATGGCAGACTCTAGACTCGTGCCCAACTCTAAAATCATGTCTCTCGTTCTCCCTCTTCCTCTTTCCTCTTGTTGACCGCCATCGCGGTAGAAGTCGGTGTTGAATCCGCCGAAATCGTTACGTTATTCGAGACATCATGGCCGAGGGATTAAGTCTTCGTGGAACTTTAAAAGGACACAATGGCTGGGTAACTCAAATTGCCACTAATCCGCAAGATCCAGACAGGATTTTGTCCGGTTCTCGGGGTACGTATAAGAATACGTAAGAAGGATGAACGTAGAATTTTACTTAAACTTAGTTTGGTGTGTTTCTTGGTATTTTTGTTTAGAGTCCCATATTGGAGAATGACCAATAATTTCTATTCCCCAAATTTTCACTACAAATATTTTAACAACAGAATTCGATTGATAATACAAACTGCACACACATCCTCAGCTGTTTATGTTTGGTACTGCCAGGCATTACGAGTCAACCCTTGTATCTCTTCACATCTTGTGCAGCCACTGTTACTGTTATGCAGTACGTTTTAACCCGGCCAATTATTGGTATCTCGTTGAGTAATAATTAAAAAACTATTCTGTTTATGCTTAGTTCTTTAAAGCGTTCCAACAAGTGGTTGGGTATTCTGAAATTGCTGGAACACCAATGTTGGTCAAACATATCAGTAACTGGTCTGTTCCATTGTGGATGGAAATAAACCGGATCTGTCTCAATACCTGTCGTTATGTTAACATGTGTTTAGGCAATTGAGACGCGCCTAGGAAATCATTTCTGGTGTGATGGGGAATGGTCTGTCTGACTGGGTGATCACGATGACGTGAATACAAACAAGGTCTATGTACACTATACATCGGCGGGTTTTCAGATAATCATCAGTATCATCTTGATTGTCCCGAAATTCTTTCCTTTTTTTTTAGGTTTTCGCAAAATGTCTTTAATTGTTTATCAGTTTTGTACATTATTATTACATTTTTGTTGGAGATTTACAGTCAAACCTGGAAAAATTTCTGGAATGTTTATTATTGTGTGCACGAAAAAAGCCAATCAGGCTTGAGAAAACTAAATCCAAGCATGAACGTTAATTAGGTTGTGGTTTTGTGGTTAGTTCGCCTGTCCTGATCTTTGCTGTGATGGGTCATAACATAATAAACATTCCTGAGGTATTTCAAGTGTTCACGGTTTTGCCGGTTTGCCTGCACTTGTTTCATTGTGTCTTTGAGCCTCATATTTTAGCTTTATAGCGATAATGTAGTTGTTGTGGTTCAGTTTTATCCTTGGTTTAAACTTTATCTGCCTTTGTTTTAAACTATTAACATACATTACCAAACCCAAAAACGAAGGTAAATGAAGTTTAAACCAAGGATAAAATATAAAATTGAACCTCAACATATACAGAGGATATTACATGGCCGCATGGAGATACGAAATATTTTTCAACACAAGAAGAGAAATTTTGTATCTCCAAGTAATCATGTAATGTTGTATTTATTATATAAACACCAATGAAATGCCAAACCATTTCACTTAAATATTTTTTTGCTGCAAAATGTGCAATTTATTATGCAGCCATAGCAACCGTGATTTTTTTAAATGTGAAAATAACATCTTATTTTCTCATGTGAAAATATCATATTTTCGCACGAAAGCTAATGTGGTTTTTTATTGGTGTTTATATAATAAATAGCCATTTTCCAACATTTTTAGTTATCTCAGCCATACATTAAATAAATGATCCTTGTTACCAAGGCAAACACTGAGGTTAAACTGCACAATTGATATGTGACTTTTCAGATAAAACACTTATTGTGTGGAAACTAACTCGTGATGAGACTAACTATGGTGTAGCTGAGAGGTCTCTTACTGGCCACAATCATTTCATTTCTGACGTGGTCATGTCCTCTGATGGTCAATTTGCTCTCTCTGGCTCTTGGGACAAAACTCTCAGACTTTGGGACCTGAATGCGTAAGCTATTGGATTTTTATTAACAGATAATGTAAGATTTGTACCTTCCTAGGGGCGGTTTTACATTTTCAGATCACAGATCACAAATTTAGGCAAAGATCACCAAATTTAAGGAACATTTATAATAACAATTAAGGCCTCGGTATAACGAATGATACTTACAACACTCCAGTAGTATTAAAATGTATAGAAAAGAACCTTGATATAACAAAAGCCTTGGCAGAGATATATTGCCAATCCCTTGGCCATAGTTACATTGAGGTTCTACTGTACAGAGCTAAATTGTTAGCTGGTCTGTTTTCATCCATGATTATGCAGTGGGAAATCAAAGTTTTTAAACCCTTTTAAAGAAAATACAGTCATTTTCCCATGATGGACCACCCAAAATACAAAGGTTAAGTGGTCACTTACAGGAGGTCCAGGGGACCCGTGCTTACGAGAATTAAACCACCTTGGGACTCTTCCGAGAAGAGGTCCCCATGCATCTACTCTTTTGGACAGAATTTATTGCATGCAATTTCTGAGTTACCTAGTTGTAGTTTCATGTTGTCACTAAAAGTTCTTCATATGTTCTGAGTAGTGTTGTACATTTAGCGAACTAAGAGGTCAGACCATGTGAAAACAGTGGAAAATTATAAAACCATCACCCCAAAAGGTGGTTGCAGTCGCTTGCAAGAGGTTCCAACTACAGGGCTTAACTGAAAAATTTGGTGTTTTGGATCTGTGGTTGCTTATGGGAGGTGGTCACTCGTGAGAGTTGGTCACACATGGAGGTTCGACTGTACATCAATGACTAAATTTTTGACAAGCTCCCGCAAGCAACTGTTAGCTAGGCAAAGCTGATTTCTTGTGTTACTCTCGCCCCCGTTCATAACTAAAAGCTATTCCAAACTTCTGATTATGTTACCAGTGAAGGAAAATTTTAATGTTGTAGTATTAAAGTAATTCTCTGTCCTACCTTTTTCATTTAAACAGTGGGACCACCACCCGTCGGTTTATTGGTCACACCAAAGATGTATTGAGTGTGGCATTTTCTGCTGACAACCGTCAGATCGTGTCAGGATCACGCGACAAGACCATCAAGCTGTGGAATACTCTAGGCGTTTGCAAGTACACCATTCAGGTACTTCATTGAATATCAAAAATGTTATTTCTTCAATAAACCTTAAGTCCTTGAAAGGCCCTCTAAAGAAATTTCAGATTTCAAGAGCACTTGAAGAGCCATTGAAAAGGACAATTTCTGCTGAAAGTGCTTGAAAACTCCTTGAGTTTTGTTGGGGTGGAAAAGAATATGTATTATGACTTAGTAATTCAAAGGTAAATCACAAATGTGAAAATCGGGAACAGATAATTTTTGGGAAAATGCATCTCAGCCTGTGCTAAACACTCCTTGACAGACTGGTTTTTTTGCTTTAACGTCCTTAAAAACTCCATGAATTTTATGTCTAAACATTACACTACACTACACTTGCAGTACGTCTTGGCATATAAACGCCAAATAAATCACCCAATTTGTGAATTTCACTGGAATTTCAGTTGCCAAAGTTTTTCTACCCACCATGGCGACCAAAATCAGGGAACTTAAATCACTGAATACAGTGCAACCCCTTTAACGTGACCATTGTTGGCCCATAAAGTCCTTGCGATAATAACAAGATGGTTGTATTAACAGGATCTTTAAAGTAATAAAATGACCAGTGTTTCTTCAATCGGGGGTGGTGATAAGGCGGGGATCCACTGTACCTTCAACCATTGACAATACACAAATTCCTTGACTCTAATGATGACAGCGGGGGTTGTCAAAAAGTAGACACGGTGGCCAATAGTCCTTCTCAAGACTACATTACCCCAGACACTCATATTCAAACTGCTTTTGTCTTTTGTCCACCAACAGGATGAGGGACACACTGAGTGGGTGTCCTGTGTAAGGTTCTCTCCAAACTCCAGCAATCCCATCATTGTATCTGCTGGATGGGACAGAATTGTCAAGGTACTGCTCATTCATTTTGTATTGACATTGGAAACCCAATGTGTTGAACGTCTGGTAGTGTTTTTGGGCTTGAAGACATCTTAACATTGGTTATTATTAAACCTTCTCTTTAAAAGACAGTTCTTTTCCAGGCACCCCACATGACAGTTGCTCCAAAGTACTGGAGCAAAGTCATTCAATTTTTCCCCAGAGTCTTGCTTGATTAACAAGGATTGCGCATTGCATCCTTTTCAATATCAAAGTATGGATAGACTGACAATGACAACACAATGACTCTGAATGAGGATTCTGACATTTTAGTAAAGATTTCAAAGAGCAATATGGAGTTCTAGATAGCATAGATGTATCGATGCATGGACTAGATATTCTGCTGTTCATAAACTCTTGTGATATTTTTATCAAAAGCATATCAGTTCTGTAGTAGCCTGCAAGAGGATCAGGTTTTTTCGGCTGAGGTCGCGATGAGTCACTCGAGTTGCATTCTGTCCTTTGTTCTGATTGGCGAAAATCAAAACAAAAGGTTTTACATCACGGAAATCGTTTTTGCCGCTCATATTCACAGCCCTTTTTTTTCGGAGGGAGAGAAGCGACAAGGTGAAATATGTCTGCAGTTCACAGGCTAGTGTTGTAGGGACTGTTACAAAAATAAAAATAAACCCTCTCTCTTTTAAACACCTCTTATCTATTAAACTCCCCCTCTTTAACCCCTATGATTAAATCATTTATAGTAACTCAATTTATTGAAGAGCTAAATCTAAGCTTTACTCTTGTGGCTCAACAGGTATGGAACCTGACAAACTGCCGTCTCAAGACCAATCACATGGGCCACTCTGGATATCTGAATTGCGTGACTGTCTCTCCTGATGGTTCACTGTGTGCTTCAGGTGGCAAGGACGGCCAGGCTATGTTGTGGGACTTGAATGAGGGAAAGCACTTGTACACCCTCGAAGGAGGTGATATCATAAATTCAATGTGCTTCAGCCCCAACAGATACTGGCTGTGTGCTGCAGTAGGACCGTCCATTAAGATATGGGTACGTACAGCATAACAAGGTTGAGCCCAAGTATTTGGTTTTGTGGATTGACCCTCCTACCCCACACCCTTAACCATTTAAGTTCAATTTCATAAAGACTCCTGTGACTGTTACTGGTACAGGAGAAAAATTGGCCAAGGGCGGATTAAGGGGTGGGCCCCAGGGGGCCCCAGCCCCCCTTGTGTCTGGGAATATTTTTCTTTTGTAAAGATGTGTCGGATGGTACTTCAAGCTTTGTTACTTACATACGTTTTCTTTGATAAACATTGTTAATAAGAAAGTTTATAGAACGTTGTCTTCGCCGGGAAGTTATCTTCTCGCCACAATCGCTTCAGCCCTAGACTTTCCAAAAAGTCCTTCATCGGAGCCAAACAAGGCTCGCTCCGCTCGCCAAGAGGTCGACTTGAAGCAAGTCTACTTCAGTCCTTGCTAGCATCATAAAGTGTTAATTACTTCTTTGACGACTACCACACCTCTGGTTTATTAAATATTTCAGCATTACATGTTCAATATGGAATCCAGACATTTGCTAAGAGCGCTAGATTGCTTCTCAGAGAACTTCAATCTCAAAAATTTTCCCGGAGGAGCATGCGCCTGAAACTCCCTAAAAAGTGCACCCTTAATAGTCCTGATGGGCACTATGGTGCCTATATTGCCACTGTGTACTATATTTCTAGGCCCCATCTATCCTCCGTCCGCCCGTGTTGGCCGTTAACTGACCGACAAGTCCCCAGTAAAGATCGTAGGAACAATTGCAAGACACATTTTTGCTCCAGTTTGAAAGGTGACTACTTTGTTATTATTCTGTCCTAGGATCTGGAGGTCAAGTCGGTTGTGGATGAACTAAAACCTGACGTCATCAACATGGGAGGCAAAGCTCCGGCTGCTGACTGTATCTCTTTAGCCTGGTCAGCGGATGGTCAGACACTGTTTGCAGGCTACACTGATAACGTGATCCGCGTGTGGCAAGTTACTCGAGTTTAAAACTGTAATACCTGTTTGGCACCAGAGGAATTTTACATTAATTGTAAAAAAAAAAATAATAAAGACACTGTTACCTAGTAACGCTGTTTGCTTTGATGTTTATGTTTTTGAGAATACTACCTAAAGCAAACCAGGAACTAGCAACGATGGTCACGGTATGTCTCCTTTCGCGTGCGGCGCACGTTTGACTTATTGCGGCCTCCCCAAATGGAGAGCTTCGATCTTAATAAAATGGAACAACAACTGGCCTATCCCCCGCAAATCAATGATGAAGCCGCGCGAAGGGCAAGACGCGCCATTTTCCCATCTTTGATTTGGGGGGAGGAAAGAGTTTGTTCTCAGAAAACGCAATTCTTCTCTTCTTTCATGAGAGGGTGGCATGAAGAGATGCACGTGTATTGAAACTGGTTTTTATCAGTTTTTTGAAATAATTTAATGTTGACTTTATCCTGAATTTCCACAAATGTGGCGGAATATTTCCTTGAAAAAGAAGAACAGTAATTGGAGACTCCTTTTCAGTAGGCATTTAATACAATTAGGATTTCTGTCTCGCGAGCTGCGTTTTTCCAGCATGGCAATGCGACTTTGCAGTCAGTGGTGGCCGCGGTTAAGAACGCAGGGTTCTTTTAACTGCCAGACTGGATCGAAAACTTAAATGCCTTTTTTCCTTCGGCTACATTTCAATAAGTATTTTTGTGACTCTTCGAGTATAACTAAATGTTTCAAAACAGTGCTCTTAATAACTGCAATAAATTTATTTTCTTGAAGAGACCGAACTTTCACGTATCCGCGTGGATATGAAAATTGTGTTTTCTCTGTAGCATTATCAATATAGTTTACTCAATACTGGCGACTTCTACATTACAGTCCGTTTTGCTTTGACGGTTAATAAAGGCCTCCAAATTGAACCTTTGAAAACACCCACACAGTCAACAGTACGTAATCTCTCAATGAGCGTTGCTTGCATTCATGATATATCCGTTGCCAGCATTTCTCGCGGCACGCTTCGCTCTTCGCTGGAAATGAAGAGCTTGCTTGCAGACTAGTGTATACACAACTCAAGCAGTGGTAGGGATGGGAAGTCCATGAGAGGTCTATACAAGACGTAAAGCGTCAGGGAAAATCAAGAACATGTAGTTCCTGTTATGGCCGCCTTATCTTCCGAGCAGTTGATCCGATGGAACTGTTCATGGGTTCAGGTGCATCTACTGCACCGGATACGGTCAGTGAAAAGGGTCGACTTGGTGCACCAATCTTATTAGTCTTTTGACTACGGTAATAGAGAGTTAAAGCCTTCACGTATACGGCAAAAGTCAGATGCAAGTTGAGAATTTCGCAAAATAGAAAATGAGCATATAAAAACAGCTCAAAACAATTCTTATGGATTAAAAAATTGCGTGAAACTACTAATTTATGTGTAGAAATAATGAACAGTAAACGACAAGTAAATGGGGAAACTTGGTCACGTGGTACAATTTGACGTAAACGTGATGCTTAACCTTTCTAATGAAGAGTTGAGTAACACATAGCGCTCTATTTCAGAAAACTCTCAAGCAACAGTAAGGCCACTTCAAACACTGTACTATCCTTAGACAAGAGAGATCAAAACACCCAATGAGACCGCTCTGTCTTTAAAAGGAGCGAAATACGAGCGTTTTGAAAGACGTTTTCGTGCCATAGTCAATCGAATGGTTCCTGACTAGTGCTTAACCAATGTTATCTTTACAGAATGTTGTATTTTCAGAGAGCTATATATATTAAAACTTTATCAAGACTCCTTCGTTTCTAAGTCACTTCGTTGATAGTATACTCTTTGGGCAACTTCCGGTTTAGAGCCTCGTTTTCATGCTTTAGAAAGGAGGGAGAGTTGTTTAGAGACTTGTAGTATGTTCATTAACAGGGTTAAAGTAACTGTTTAATGATGAGAAAGCGGCAATTAGTAACAAGTCTGGACCACTGCTGAAAATTCATGGTTTCGGTGCAAACGGTAAAGGAGATTTTGACCGTCATCATATCATAGTTAATTGAGTGGAATGGTTATGAAACCCGTCAGACTCCTTTGTTATATGTTTTTGTGGACCTGAAAGTGCACAACGTTCAAAAGAATTCCTATCATTTTGATTGTATTGACCAACAAAAACGTTGCATTAATTTATTCCGTAGCAATTTGCCAACAGAAAACAAAGGATTGTGCACTTTCAGGGTGCTTCCAACATAAACTGCAGCACTGTTGTTTTTATCATTGATGTTTGCCGCTTTTCATAACCAGTCTCCTCTAATAACTATGATCATATCATGGTCATAAAGGCGCTCAAATCGTGCACTGCGGGTTTGTTGAAGAATAGAAAATCTAACGAAGTGTTAAAGCTGTGCTTGAGTTCCTTTATAGGAAAAGGAGGAATGAAGCCCGTTCAAACGTTGAACTTAATATGTACCGAGTCTAATGCGCATGCAGATGAGCCAGAATGAACAACAGATTTTCTTCATAAGCCATAATGCTACTCGGTAAGCCCTTGTTTCGATAATCTCAAACGGCCTAGCTTGTTCACAGACCGTCTATTTTCTCTTCAAAGTTGGTCGGGCAGCGCGTGATAAAAAATAAAAACTACGGGGGATTTATTGACCGCCAGAACAAGGGGGGTAGGGGTGGGGGAAGAAGACAATAGATTTCCTTTCTCGCGCGCTCGCCGATGTTTTCGAAAGAACGGAACGAAAAATAAAACAATGTCTGTGTGTAGGCTAAAACAGCCCTCTTCCTCTCACTTACACTTACATAAAATTTCTAAGTTCCTTGACTCAGAGGCTTAGTTTCTGATCAACAAATGTTTTCAAAGTGTCTCTCTTCAAGTTTCAGGAAAAAAATTCACGTTAGCATGAGCGAGATTCGATCCCAGAGCTGCCTCGTACCCAGACGTCTCTCTCTCGATGAAAATGCACTGTCGTCTGTATCCTTCCCATGGTCCCTTGCGGTTCATCACCAGTCACTCGCGTTTCGCTCTCGCCTCCACCATGCGAAAAACGAAGCGCCTGAGGAGGAGGCTGATCCCAGAGCATGGGGACTGTAGTGTACTACCAATTTGATTGTTTCCGGGATCAAAGAGTGGTTTTTAATACGCATATTGCACGCATATTGTTGCTTTATCGGTGATTCTTTCTAGCTTTTGCTCCAGAACAAGATGAAAAAACAAACAAACAAATAACTCAACCAGTGACATTTCTGAGAACCTTTTATTACGTTCACCAACAATTGTAAGCTTTTGCTAACTGCTCTTCTAGAGAAAAACCAACCACTCACGGCTCTTTAACATCTCTTTGTTCATTGAACCTCTATATCTCGCAGCTCTTTTATTTCAAGCTGTTCGTTAATGTTTTCCAAACGATCTAGCCTGTTCCAGGCTCCGAGAAAGTCGTTCAGTAAAAAGAAAATGCAAAAAGTGCGCGGGGGCTCGCGCGCGTCATATTTTCGCTTTGCTCGTTTTAATACGTCCCCTCTATTCTATCTGAGAGCCTGGCACAGGCTAGAAACGATCCTGTGAAGTCTAAGAGCTTCGACATCACTTTGAGAAACCCATCCTAACTACATCCCAATTACATTCCCCCCTCTTATTTAGGAGCTGACTTCTCGGTTGTCCGATTTTGTCTACTCGCACTTTTTAATACATACAGTGTCCACTCAGTAGACACGTACAATTTATCATAACTTTTTCCCGATTTTGTGAATCTACTGTCACTCAATTCTGTTCATTTCGGTCAAAAATAAAAATAAATATATCAGGAACATAACCTTCGTTATGAATTCGTTACCTGTTATGCTTAAGGTAACTGAACGAGAATTTTACTACTCATGAGTTTTAGTTTCTTCATGGAAAGATCATAAATTTGCCCCAAGTAGGTAATCCAGATTCTGGAATCCGGAAAATTGCTCCTTTTGGAATCCGGAATTTGAGAAACTTTTTTTTGTGGAATCCGGAATCCCGCTAAAACGATTGGAATCTGGAGTCCAAGTTGCACTAAACCACAGTGTGGAGTCCAGAATAGATCTTTTTAGCTTGTGTGTTTTGTTTTCCCAATTCAGGCCACGTGATGTTCACAAGGGACTTTTTATTAGTTATGCAAGCATATGGCCGAAATTTGAAAGAAACAGTTCTCTGGGGTAACATCATGTGGTCTGCAATAAGAAAACAAAAACCTACACCATTAACGAACCCGATGTTAAACAAGTGAAAGTAATTTTATGCTTTAGCAGAACAAACGGACGAACTCCACTTGTACGATTTGTGTCTGGTAAAACAAAGTGAAGGGTGACTGGCGATATGTGAACAGTGTTTTCTTAAAGCTGGCTCCACGGCAAGACCAACAAAACTTGCAATCAGAACTCCAGCGGACTCACCAATGGTTACCAGTCCCATGCAGAACTCCTTGTATTTTGGCTCTACGATAAGCGGTACCGCGCAAACCGTATTAGAAAAAACGACACCTGACAACGAACCAATGACAAAGCACAGAAACAAAACTGACCAGACGTTATGGAAAAGCCTGTAATAGGAAGCGCTGATGGAGAAAGCCATAACAGCGAGCAACAAAACCGAAAAAATCCATGTGCGTTTTATGACAAGGCGAGGCACCAGCGCGGGTCGGGCCCAAGCTACTATGCTTAAATAGGAACGCAGTAAGAACTCGCCGATGCCATTGAGAAGTACATAGTACACATAATGGTCTCTTGGTGCGAAAGGCGCGTTACCAAACGCGATCGTCGTGAATACCGCTTGTATTGTGATATATTGCGATATGTAAGCAGCGCAAAGGGCGGCCATACAGGGCAGTATCTGCCATGCCGCCACTGCCTTTTCCCGCCAAGACAGTTCAAATGGATTCTCTTTGTAGAGGTGGTCCACGTTTGCTGAGGTGTCGGTGTCACTGGACTTGACTTTCTTGTAGGTGTCTAATAAGGCAAAAGGCTTGAGTCGATCTTTGTCAAGTATGTAGTAAAACAGCAGGATCAGAAGTATTGTTGGTGAAATGATAGCGATGGTTGTTTGAGGCGAAATACAAGCCCAGGAGGTCATAGCTGTTGATTAAAAATAAATTATTATTTAAAACTTTAATTCCTAGAATCTGTAGCAACTAGTAGCATACATCTAGGGCGATATTACTTTCAGTAATTGTAGATAAACTTCTCTAACTCATGATAATTGACAACGCAAAAACAAAGAAACCGAGCACTGTTAGTGACATATTTGAATATCAAATGAAAACTCCTCGCTCTTGGACCTTTTTTTCTTTCAAAATCATTTTGTTTGCGAAGTTCACTATACACTCGAGACAGTGTCTCATCACAAACCATCTTTTGTCTGAGAATACTCTGCTACGTGTCATATTGTAAACTTTCCTTTCGGTGTTTTAAATGTGATTAAACAATGCCTCTCGTGTTTTTTGTATTTGATGTGATGACTTATTTATTTCTATGCCAGCTTCTGCTAACAAAGTGAACCCTACGTTCCCGCCCTGTTCACACGGCAAACGCTTGCTTCGCATGGTTCTTAAACGATACTGCAATCACGGTGCAAAAAAGAAAAAACCAGTGTGAACACAGCGGCATTGTTCTAGCCTACGAGCAGAAGTCGCAAGCGCCAGGAAAAGCTAGCGGTATCCGCTTTGCGAGCCACCGAGTACTTGTACATCCTCTCCACTCTCGCCCGGAGCCTCAAACATGGGCCCTGTATACATGAGATCTTGTTCGCTGGCACTACGACTTAGAGACTACAAAAAGAAAGATCGAAGAAATATGCGATTACTTGGAAAGTCATTCCGAGTGGAGTACGTGTACAAGGATATCCATTTCATATTTACAATTTACTTTATATTCGTCAGTCCAGTAAAACTCCACAAACTCCCAAGGGATATATCATTTTCCAATTCGCTGGCTGCTTTTAAAAATGCAGTTTCAAACATTTATTGACAGTTTTATTACTCTGCGCTCATGAGCGCCATTTCTGCCACTTTTGTTTTCCTTTGTTTGTTTGTTTTCTTTTTTCTAGAGCGGTCTAAAATGCTCAATATTGAGTGAAAGATCTAAATGGTAAATAAATGGTAAATAAATAATGTCCTAGCAGTGATGAACCTTGACTTTAACTAACTCATCAAAAGAAGTCGCGGTAAATTGATTTCCAGTCATTTCTGCATGTTAGGCCTTCCTGAGATTATGGGTAGCAGTGAAGCAAGAATAGGCACAAAGACTTTCATAAGGAAAACTGAGGCCATGTTCAGAAATTTCTCTCGCATAAATTGGCCTGAGGGCGAGTTACTCAACAACTCCCTTAATGGACTTTATGAGTGCAATCATCGAACAAAGACGAACAAAGAAAAAGGGAGACATCTGTGCGCTATTCTTCGCCACAAACGCCTTAGTATTGTCAAAAAAAAAAACCTTCACTCAAGTCTGTCAGACCCTGTCACA